TCTAGAAGTAGACCCTGTTTTTCTTGTCTGGTCAGTGGCCTCTTGTGTCCTGTCTCCTGCAGCCTGTGCCCCCTAGGCAGGACAGGGAGGGAACCACCCATCCATCCCCTTCCCAGTCCTCCTGCCTTGGGCCCCAGAGAGCTCACAGTGTCAACATCCAGAAGGAGAGCACATGTGAGCGTGTGAGCGACCAGGTTGGAAACTATCAGTAGCCATGAAAGTTCTGCCTGGGGCAGACACACCAGGTGACAGGGATAAGGGCACGTGAGGCAGTGACAGCAGACCTGTCAGCCCCGCCCAGAACTCCCACCTCTAACACCTGGCCGGCTGTCCATTTCCCTGTGTGAGGGAGGAGTGGCTGTCCTCAGGCCAGAAGCCTCCCTGGACACCTCCATTTTCCCTCTCCACTGGAAGGCTGCCTGCTGCCCTGGAATTAGCAGTACACTCTGAGGGAGAGGAGAGGGCAAGCAGGCTCTGAGGGTAAAGGGCTGGCAGCCAACCCCTGTGACCTGATTCAATTGTCCCACCCACACGAAGCAAGTGACAAGCAGTCCTCTGACCACCACACAGGCTCTGTCACACATGCCCCTGCCCGGACGAAGTAAATAAAGAAACGTTAAAAAAGATTTTTTTAGGGCCAGGCGTTGGTGGCGCACCCCTTTAATCCCAGCACTCGGGAGGCAGAGGCAGGCGGATCTCTGTGAGTTCGAGGCCAGATAGGCTCTAAAGCTACACAGAGAAACCCTGTCTCGAAAATCAAAAAACGAAAAAGTTTTGCAATGTGTCAGGGTTAGGAGGGGAGGCTGGAGGGGTGGATACTGAGGTAGGAGGATGGCGAGTTTGCCCAGTTTCGATACAGCACCAGGCCTGAGGTCTAGGTTTCAGAGCGATGCTTGACCCCTGACCTGCCAGGGACTCACTGCTTCAAGCGGGAAAGCCAGGCTGCCAGCTTTCCCCAGCACCGGAAGTTTCCAGGTCCCATCCATCCGTCCACCACAGGCCAGACTCTCAAGAGGTTAGGGACAGTGAAGCCTTCGTACGTGGGACTATGACCATCCTGTGCCTCAGTTTCCCCTCTACAGTCCCTTCCTTGTAGAACGAGCGGGGATCCCATTAGCTTCTTTTCTTGCAGCAGGGTTTCGGGAACCCCGCGTATGGCTCAGGTGTGAACTTCTGACCCTGCTCCCTCCAACTCCCAAGTCTGGAATGAGCTGGGCACCGCCATGCCTGGTGCACGGCAGGCCAGAGCCCCCACCCTGCCGGTTTAGTTTTGAGACACGGTTTTGCCTGTAACCCAGGCTGCCCTTGAACTCCCCGACGCTCCTGCCTCAGCCTCTCTTGTGACAAGCATGTGCCACCCCAGGGCTTCCTTCTGGCATTTGTGTCTGCGGTCAGGCAGAGTGAGCAGGAGATGACAGTGGGGCCGGGGAAGGACAGGGACGGCCGCGCACACGGGAAACTCGGACAGACAGCGGCCGTCTACAGAGCTCCTAACAGGCACCTTCCGATTACCCTTCTACCTAGCAATTTCACTCCAGGCACACGCCCAAGAGGAACAAGAATAAACCCACGGGAAAACCGAGGAGCCAAAAGGTGGAAACAGCCCTGCATCCGGCATGGATGGAATGGACACGCAGAGCAGTCCACACACAAGCCAGAGGACTACACAGCCATAGCAGTCCACACACACACGCCAGAGGACTACACAGCCATAGCAGTCCACACACACACAGCCATGACACCACGGAGGAGGGCCCTGAGGGCACTGTGCTCTGTGAGAGACTCTGACAGCCCCCCGAGGTGTGGGGCTCTGCCACAGAAGTGTCCGGAAGTGAACGCAGGGAGCTGTGTAGGAGACTAGTGGCCATGCTGTCCGGGGATGAGCCTGGAAGGACCGAAACATTCTGAACTTGACAGGAATTTTGTTTGTTTAGGATCTTGAATCCGCGAATGAGCTAAAAGCCAGGCACAGTGGTGCACGTCTGTTATCCCAAGACCCGGGAGGCTGAGGCAGGAGAGCAGCCCCAGGCTACAAAAGCAAGACAGCCTCAAAAAAACCAAAAAAACCTGGGCGTGGCGGTGCGTGCCTGTGATCCCAGCACTTGGGAGGTGGAGGCAGATAGTTCTCTGTGAGCTTGTGGCCAGTCTGGTCTACCTAGCGAGTTCCAGGACAGCCAGAGCAACACAGAGAAACCTGTCTCAGAGAAACAACAAACACACTCACAAAAGATGTCAGCTTGAAAAATCACAGCGAGGCCGCTCTGAACCCGGGTGTGGCCACAGGGGGACAGGAAGGCTGCAGGGTGTGCGCCCAGTTGCCAGAAGGCCCAGAGCCTAATCCCAGCCCCTGGCGGAGGCCTGGAGTCCCGTCCTCAGACCCACAGCCAGGGTGGATCCGGCTGCCGGGCTCAGCTGGTGGAAGTCAGACGTGGCCAAGACTGGAAGGAAGACGCGGAGACAGTGCCAAGCGGCCGGCCAGCCAGCACCGCCACGTGCCAGGAAGGGAGTAGGGCAGACGCCAGAGTCAACACAGGCCGGACCTGGGGCTGACATCTGTGGGGCTGGCTGGACCACGGTTGACACAGACTGCACAGGTGCCAGGCCAGCAGGGAGCAATGTGTTAGAGGAGGAGTCCCGGGCACAGACGGACACCATCTCCAAACCCAGCCAGCTCTGGTCCTGCCTCACAGCTGTTTTCCAGGACCTTCGCCCAGCTGATTCCCCAGCAGAGATCCGTTCTCACCTTTCCCAACCCTCGGGGTAACGGATGCGCGTGCCTGGCTTTCTATGTGGGCCCCTGGGATCTGAACTCAGGTCCTCATGCTTGCATGTGGACATTTTTACCCCGTCTCCCCATGCTTTGTGTACATTTCTCTCTATGTCTGGTGACCGGGGTGCTTTCTCTAGTCTCCCATTAGATCTGAGCTGGGGCTCCTGGCTCCCTCTGTCCTCAGTTTCCCCATCTCTAGATGCACAAAGTCCCCTGCACAGGCTGGGTCTCTGCATGACCTCTGACCCTGAGCCAGGATGTCCCCCAAAAAGGTCTCAACAACGGCTCTTGAGGCCCCCCCTTTGTCTCGCTGCCCTGGGGCTGGGTTTGGAGCAGCCAACCCTAGCCCTGCTGCCCTATTCATGTATGACCAGCGCAGAGCCGTGGGATCTGGTAATGCGAATGGGGGTACCTACAGATCGTGGCCATGGCTGTGGCAGAGTAGCACGGGCACGCCCCACTTGCTTGGCACCGGGGCACCGAGCACATGTCAGGAAAACTAATAAACTAAGCGTGCCCTCGAGAGGCAGGTGATGCACACACCGTGACAAGCACATCCCCTGAGAACTAACAACTAAAGGCCTCTGTGCGACACACCTGTCAGTCAACTCCTTTGTAAAATGCACACAGGACGGCCCAGGCCACTCCTGTACTAACCAGGGAAACCAAGGCACAGAGTGAGGTGCAGCCCACACACACCCAGCCAAACACTTTTATGTTTGATATGTTTATCGGGAACCTCCTTGGGGGATACGAGGCCCAGTCTTGAAGCCCACAGCCACCTCCAGGCCTAGGGCGGGGCGGGGCCACACCCAGGAGCAGTGATGTCCATCTGACAGGTCAACTGGCAGGCTGCCCGACACACACGCCAGGGCGAGAAGCAGAGACGGAGGGCGAGGCCGCCCCGCCCAGCCTGGGCCCTGTCTCTGCAGGCACTGAGAGGGCGCAGAGGGTTAACCTCCTCTCGAGTTCCTCGAAACTACTCTTCGCGCCCCAGGGCCTTTGCACGGCTGTGACACCAGAACAGAGCTGTCACCTGTCTTGCCCCACAAGCACAGATGCTAACCTAACCTGAGCGCCCCTGGTTATGCCTCAGCTCCATGTTTTCCCAGGCATTCACTTCTGCATCCTAAGGGGGACCCCGGGCCTGTTCCTTGGGCCCCCAACAGCAGAGCTCAGGTCACCTCCTGAAGCCATTCCGATCAGCTCTGTCACACAGGGAACATCTGGAGTCCTCAGCCAACCTCTGGGGCCACCTCGTAGGCCACACAAGACTTGGCCCTGGAGCCAGCCCGGGAGCCGGTTTCCACCCTGGCCACACACCCGGGGGTCGGCTGGGCCAGCTGGCCAGGCTGGAATGCAGGCTCTAGCCCGGCAGGCCAACCATCTGGTTTCCATCGGCCTGCTGACTTCAAAGGCCGGCCACTTCCTCCCGCCTGGCCGCCTGCAGGGAAGGGCTAGGGCAGTCTGAGCTTCCTCCATGCCACTCCCGGGCCCAGGAAGTCTGTGTGGGGGTCCCACGGACACCCCCCACCTCGCCAACCAGCGCGCCAGCACCTCTGGAACCACCTACCACGAGCCTCGGTGCCCCAGCTCCTGCCGGCTCCTGGACACCCACAATTCCGCAGCTACCAAGTGTCCCTAGGCACCACCCTGGACCAGCACTGCCCTAGCCCCCTGGGCACTGTAGCCCAGCTCACATGCTCTGCAGACCCCCTCTCTCTCCAGAGCTGGGCTCTACATCCTTGTCTCAGGTTGACAAGCCACCTTCCTGTGCTCTGCGGCCTGAGTGTGAAGCCGCGATGGATGCTGGGAGTTTCCCTCTGGGCTCGCTCTCCATGTTATTTCTGAGGCAGGTCTTGCACCGAACCTGGAGCTCACTGGCCAGCGAGCCCCAGGGATCTTCTGTCTCCATCTCCCAGCACCAGGACCGAAATTACAACTGCTGTGCCCAGCGTTTTACATGGGTGCTTGGGGATTTGAACTCCGTACCATGCATGCACAGCGCTTCACATACCAAGCCCCCCCCAACACCAACAAGACACCTTCCTGCTCAGCAGGACGCGCAGAGCCCACACAGACCTCAGAGTCCCCGGTGCCCAATATTCCCCTGGCGTGTCCCGGCCTGGCCTGTGCACCTCAGCCATACCCAGGACCAGAGCCTCCCTACTGCCCGGCAGTGCCTGATCCCCTGCAGCTGGGGGGCGCGGCGACCAAAGCCCTGGCCTACCTGTTTGAACTGCTCCTCAAACGTCCAGTCTCCGTGGTCCGCTGGTGGCATCTGGGATGCCGTGGGGGGGGGGTGGGCAGGGCCAGGTCCCAGGCGCTCAGGGCCACCCAGCATCTTGGGACCACCATCTCCACGGAAAGCCTGAGCGGGCTGGGCCTTGCGGGTGAACAGGCCTGCAGAGCCCAGGCCGGCAGACCCTGGGGGGCCCAGACCCTCCTCCTCCTCTTCCTCGAAGTCCTCCTCCTCCTCCTCTTCCTCCTCCTCCTCCTCCTCCCCCAGGTCTTCCAGCTCCTGCTCCTCCCACTTGGGTTTCCTGCAATGAACACACACAGCCCCCTCAGCAGGGACACAGGCAGGCGCCACTTTGTCTCAGTGGCAAGGCCAACCCCACCCACTTACCCCTGCCTCAGTTTCTCTCCCTGCAAACAGGAACAGCCACAGGCCTCTCAGGGCCCCGGGTAGGTCCCTGCCCACACCCCACTTTACCCCCCCCAACAAGCTCTTAACGAGGGCCCCGACACACCTCCTCCAAGGTTGACCTAGGACCTCTGCACGTGGGACTGCTAGCGCTAGGCTCGCTGTAAACAGTGCTCTGCCATCCTTCTGGTACCTTCTGTCAAAGCCCGCCCCTCCCCCACACCTCAGCCTAATTCTCTCCACAGCGTTTGGCACAACCCCAGAGCACAGAGTCTCCCTGTGTGGAGGACCCCCAAGGACTGCAGGCTCACTCAGCAAACACCTGCTCAGCGCAGCGTCCCCTCAGTAACCCCCTCAGGCTCCCCGCACACTTCTCAGACGCATGAAAACACAGCAGACGCCTCCCCAACCCCAACTCACGGGTCACCATCGAAGCCGAGGTCCAGCAAATGCCCGTCTCCTTCAGCGTGTCCCGGCCCCTCCCGGCCTCTTCCACGCAGGGCAGGTGAACTCAGAGTCCCTTCAAGGGCTGTGTCTTCATCTTCTGAGCCAGGAGGCCCGTCCTCGGAGCCACCGGGGGAGGACGGGTGTCCCAAGCCGGCGGCGGCGGCCCGCATGGCAGCCAGCGCGGCCATCTGCGTCCTATGCATCCGGGCGTTCTCGGGCTCCCTGTCCTCGTCTGTCACAGCAGTCCGAGCCCGGGCGCTGGTGGGCTCAGGCGGTGGGGGCGGCGGCTGCCGGGCCTCCAGTTCCTGCCGGGCACGCTGCTGCCTCTGAATGAGAGTCTCCATCACAGCCTGCAGCTTCATGGCCCTGCGGGGTGGCCCACCCCGGGCACCAGGGGTGGGCGGCGGGGGCGGCCCCTTCGGGGAAGGGTCTCGGCCGCACTGCAGCGTGGGGGCCTCGGGGGAGCCCGGACAGTGCAGGGTGGCGGCCGGCGGGGGCGGGGGCCACGGACTCAGGCTGAGGGCTGGTGGAGCATGCCAGGGGTGACCAATGGGCTCCTGTTGTCACGTCGGGCACCCAGGGGTGGGAGCTTGTATCAGGCTCATTCAAGTGCTAGCAGACTCCTAGGGGACACAGCAGAGATGAGGTCAGATCACACCTGTGCCCCAAGGACACATCCTTCCTCACAAGTTGACAGCAAAGGCTGATGGGAGAATCCCTCACACCTGCTCAGGGCACGCCCTACCTATCCACTGGCCTGCAGGGTCATTGCAGTGGACACCCAGGGAATCTCTGGGTCCCCTCCGGTTAGGCCCACCAGGGACACTGTGGGTTATTGTCCCATAAGCAGAACTGTGGGGGAGGGGCCTGATGTCCCTACTTTCTTATTGGCTGTACCCCGTTCTAGACTCCAGAGTGCCCGTGGGTTCTGCATTCTGGCTCTACCTTCTCCACGTTGCTTGGCAGGAGAGGCCCTGGGAACTCTGGCCAGAACTGTATACTTGCGGTGCACAGGCGGGAACCGCGCCTCGCTTTCTCAGAGAACCTCTGCCGGCCGATGGGTCTGGATCTACCCAGCTCTGTGGCATCGGTGCCCACCATGTCACACTTGGGAGGGCCGGCACAGGGTGGGCACCCTACAGGTGATGGGGGTAACGGGAGCACGGCCTGCAGGTGATAGGGGTAACGGGAGCACGGCCTGCAGGTGATGGGGTAACGGGAGCACGGCCTGCAGGTGATGGGGTAATGGGAGCACGGCCTGTGCGCTGCAGAGGGGAAACGGAAGTCTAGGTGTTCACCCAGGCTAAGGCTTGGGGGAGGCAGAGTGTCCTGTGCCGCTCTCTGCAGAGAACATCTGGGGTTACTAGTTTACACGGCTCCAAGGGGGGAAATGTCCCAGAATATGGCACTCTGTCCTGGCCAGGGAGCCCTGGTGGGACTTCCAGAAGCCAGCAGGGACCCAGGCCCCACCTTGCCCCAGGCCACACCCTCAACCCCCCCTAAGCAACCAATAAAACAGCGGGCAGAAGCAGCAGGCCTGAAATCAAGGGATCCTGGGGGAGGAGAAAGTACAGTCCACCTACCAAACTGGGGGGGCTTCAGGTCACCCTCAGCCTAACCTGAACCCCAAAGTCCAGACATTACCCTGTGACTGACCCCTGGGCTGTGAGGAGGGACAGCTGAGGGGTCCTGGCTGCTGTTCACACACTGGTGACATTCTGGTCACCAGGCCCTCGGCCCAGGGGACCCCTGCAGTGCAGACCCTGTGGGTCTCCACGGAGACCAGGGCTGCCTTCCCTAGACGTCTGGTCACCCAAACTGTGAGGCTTCCAGTAGAAGTGTGGCAGGCGAGGCGGGCGGCCCCAAGGGACTCCTGTCAGTCTAGGATTCCCAAGACAGTCAGACTTTAGAGGCCCGGGCACTGGCGTGGCCACCCCGGCCTCAGCACTCACACAGTCCCTCCACACCCTGCCGCCGCCGGTCACCCCATCCGCGAGACTCGAGAAGTGCTGAGGGGACATTTCTGGACACTGTTCGGCTTGGCCCATCCACCCTTCCCCCACCCCTGACAACTTGGAGCTGAGCACACCCCACTGCGGAAACGCTGAGAGTGACACCCCCTCTTTGGGGTGGGTGGGGGACACACGAGGAAGAGGCTAGAGGAAGCCCCTCTCCCCGACTCCCCCCTCCCAGACTGGCTTGGTTTAATGACCCTTCCTGGCCGCTGGGTGGGGGAGGGGAACGGGCAGGCCTCCGCCGCTGGGGCGGGTAGTGGGTGGAGGGGGGTAGGTGGGAACCCCAGAGCTGCCCCTAGGCCAGCCAGCACTGCCCGCCCGCCCCCCAGGGGTGCCATCACCCCTAAGCTGATGTCGGCCATCCTTGGACAGCCCTCCAGTCCAGCTCTTTGTCCTTGGGCCCCCACCCTGAATTTATGACATTCTCAGAGGCACAGGGCCGGCCAGGGCTCGGCGGCTGGTGTTTGTGGGGGGGATATGGCTGGGGTGGGGGCTGGGAGGAGACCCAGAGCCACACCCTCACCCCCCCACCTCCAGGTTTAGTGGGGAGAGGGAGAGGGAGGGGAGAGAGAGAGAGAGAGAGAGAGAGAGAGAGAGAGAGAGAGAGAGAGAGAGAGAGAGAGAGAGAGAGAGAGAGGTCACCAGCTCGGCCAGGCCTTGCAAAACACGGTTATTTGGAGTTGTGCAAGGCCAGGGCCCGAGGGTGGCGAAAGGGGCCCCCGCTCTCCTCCCAGGGAGGTGGAGGGGGAAGGGCAGGAGCTGGGGAGGGGGCTGGGAAAGAGGGCAGTGCCCCCCCTCACCAGGAGACGTGTGCAAAAACATTCCAGTAAGTCCGAGTAGTCAGAGGACAAATGTAAAACAACAACAACAAAACAAACAAACAAAAACCCCTAACGCAGTCGGGATTTCAAAGGCTTCTAGGAAAGACCGAGCTCCGGGGGGTTGGGGGGAACCCCTGCTGCTCCAGTCGTAAAAAACGGAAGGTATTTGACAAACCCGCTGCGAGTTGACACACACGCGCGCACTCCGAGCTTCCGGCTCCCTCTTTTGTGTCCGGGGGGTGAGGGGGCCCCGCGGGACCCTGAGGGCGGGATCTGGATGGGTGCAGCCCGCGTGGGGAGAGGGGACCCCAGGGGTGCCCTGAAGCCCGGGCCCGGAGGGGGAGGGAGGGCAGACCCCGACAGACACAGATTTGGAGCAGAAATAGAACTGAAGGCACTGGGGCGTGGCGGCGCCCGGCCTGGGATTTTCCCAAGCACTCGGGAAGGAAAGCTGAGGCAGGGGGATGGCCTCGACTTCCAGCCCAATCTGCGCTTTAAACAGAGTTCTAGGTCAGCCTGTACCACACAGTGAGATCCCAGCTCCAAACATTAAAAACACGTTTCTTAAGAAAAGGCCGAATGAAGTCTCCAGAGCGCGGCCCCCAGTCCCCGCGCGCGTACACACGCGCACACGCGTGTACACACGCACACCCCGGGTCCGTTTCCTTCCGCCGGGGGACAGCGCGCACTCGCGACCCCCGCGCGCCCGAACACTCGCGTACCGGATGGAGGTCTCCGAGGTCTGCGGCCGCGACAGCCGCCCCAGCCTGATCCGGTAGCGTCGCCTACGGAGCCCCACACCCCCACACGCGCGTCTCTGTCCAACTTTGGAGACCCCGCAATCGTCGGTTTCCAGGGGGCCCGACGCTGCCACCCCTAGGGGAGCCTGCTGGAGCCGCGCTGCTGAAGGCCTGACCGTCCGACCGCTCGGGGTGGCCCGGGGGGTCGCAAGCCCCGGTGCCCGGAGCCCAGAGTCCACCCCGGCGGTGGCCCCCGGCGGCCTCTCCCCGCCCTTGGCCTCCCCCTGGTGCCCGGTGCACGCTCCTGGCCCCGGGGTCACCCGCCTCACCGAGTCTCCGGGCCGCGTCTACACCTCCATCCGTCCGGATCGGATAGGGACGAGGTCTCCGCGCGCGACCGGCCCCCCCCCGCCCCGCCCCTCCCCCACCCGGCAGACGAATCGCCGTGTGACAAATTGCTCTCAGATGCAAATACCTCGCCGGTGATTCAGCAGCCCCGGGGACGCAGGAGGTAGTGGGTGTCTCTCCAGGGTCCCCCTTTCCAAGCTTTCCTAGGACACCTCTCCGGGGTGTCCCCCGCTCCCGCCCCGCTGCAACTCAATCTGAGGACGCCCACGGTGGGAGGAGGCGGAGGGGGAGCTGGAGAGCCGCGACGGAGTGGACGGAAAACTTCAGGTCGCGGCCCCTTTAAATGATAATAAATAATAAAAGGAAGGGGGAACGAGACCGAGGGACGCCCCGCCCCCAGCTTAGGGACTGTGCGCAAAGTGCTCGCCGCAGCCCACGGCGCAGAGGCCGCGAGCGGGAGGGCGGGGCCACGAGAGCCCCGCCGAGGGGATCCGGGAGAGTTACCGAGGTTCTTCACCCCCACCCTGGAGCGGAGACACACCGGAGTCCCCGGTCGTTTCCCGGTTTCACCCGGAACGAGAGATGGATCAGCCGAGCTCCTGCCCACTACGCTGTCCACACCTTTCCAGCTTGGGTCCCGCGACTCTGAAATGGGCTTAAAAACCCGGGAGAGGCCTGAGTTGCGGGGGCGGGGACGCGGGAGGGGGGGTGCGCTGCGTGCGCAAAAGCACGGAGTTGGGCTGCGCGCGCGTTCGAGGAAATGCGAGGAACCGTGACGCCCCCGCCTAGGAGCGAGGGACCGGAGGGCCAGCTTCTAGCCGACCCAGCCAAGTGCCTGCCGCGGTCCGCCCAGCGCATCTCCGTAGAGTGCGGGCTTCTGAGGCCCCCGTTTTGCAGAATGGGAAACTGAGGCATGGTGGAACTCAGCCAAGAGTTTAGGCGACCCTAGTGGATAACGCCATGCTCAGGGCAGCCCCCCCTTCTGCGGTGCTCGGGTCCCTTGCTGGACTGTTAGGGAGGCTCTCGAGCAGCCTGCCCCTCTAAAGGCACTTTTAGGGAGGGGTAAGTCTGGTGAAGTGGGGTGACTCTGGGCCAGTCCCCGGGACGGCAGCAGCTGCGTGGAACCTGAGGCTCAAAGCTTGCAGGTGGCGGCAGACTTCGCCTTCAGACTTGGAGACACCTTGACCTGCTGGGGCGTGGCCCCGGGTGCCTGCCCAGGTCCCTCCCCAGCTTCGGGCTTGCAGACCTCACGCTCTCAACCCGCGCGATGAGGACGAGCACCTGACCCCAACTCTAAACATCTCCTGGGTCCCCTGTGAGTTTGGAAGCACCCTGATAATGAAGGCAGCCACAACTACATATGCCTGCTACTTTCTGTGTGTAACTATGGTGTAAGTGTATACGCCAAGGGAGTCTAACCATGAACCACGTGAGCAGCCCTAGCTGGCTGTGAAGACCTGGCTGGGCTTGAACTCACAGAGCTCTGTCTGCCTCTGCCTCCATGAGTTCTGGGATTAAAAAGCATGTACTGCCACGCCTGGCAAATTAATAGTTTTTCATCTGTGTGTGTGTGGGGGGGGCCTGCTCATATGTCGGAGAGGGGCTACCACGGCACATTCATAGAGGTCAGAGGACAACTGACCAGTAGGTTCTCTGCTTCGACATTTGTGTGGATTCTGGGTATCCAATTTAGGATGCCACTTTCTAGCAAGTGCCTTTTTACCTACTGAGCCATGTTGCGGGCCCTCAAAATACTGTTCTTGGTATTTATTTATTCGGTTTCTCTGTGTATCTTTAGAGCCTGTCCCTGAGCTCGCTCTCTAGACCAGGCTGGCCTCGAACTAATAGAGATCTGCTTGCCTCTGCTCTGCTGGGATTAAAGGTGTGCACCACTGCCCGGCATTTTTTTTTTTTAGTATTTTTTTAATAGAAAGAACCTTTAAATACAAATACCAATACCTGCTGGTCCTGGTCCCATTTATGGCAGGGATATATTTAGCCTAGGGTCCAGATGGCGAGCACAATGAACTGCCTCCTAGGGCCCAAATGCCCCATCTCCGGGGTCTTGAACGGCCTCAGACTGGTTTCGCAGGACGTGCACACCCCCTGCCGGGAGCCGGCGAAACTACGCCCAGGAAGAACTCAGCATGGAAGGGGGGGGGGGTCCTCGTCAAGTTTTGAGTGGCCGCCAGGTGGTGCTATTGCACTTAAAAAACAGTTTCCCAAGTTAGCTTTGGAGAAACTTGAGACCTGAAGTTGTTTTTCTCCTGCATAGCTTTTTCTGTTCAGAGCGGGTGTCAACTTGTAGCCCATGATGGGTTTGAAACTCATGATCCTTCTGTTTATTATGAAGTTTAAATTACTCTGTCACAGTCATACCATTTTCTCTCTTTTTTTTTTTTTTTTGGTTTTTTACGAGACATGGTTTCTCTGTATTGTTTTGGAGGCTGTCGGTCCAGCCTGGCCTCAATTTTTTTCAGTTTTAAAAATGGTGTCTCTCGCCGGGCGTTGGTGGCGCACACCTTTAATCCCAGTACTCGGGAGGCAGAGGCAGGCAGATATCTGTGAGTTCGAGGCCAGCCTGGTCTACAGAGCGAGTTCCAGGACAGCCTCCAAAGCCACAGAGAAACCTTGTCTCGAAAAACCAAAACAAAAAAAAAAAAATGGTGTCTCTCCAGGACAGCCTCCAAAACAATACAGAGAAGCCAGGCATTGGTGGCACACGCCTTTAATCCCAGCACTCAGGAGGCAGAGGCAGGCAGATCTCTGTGAGTTCGAGGCCAGCCTGGTCTACAAAGTGAGTTCCAGGACAGCCTCCAAAAGCCACAGAGAAACCCTGTCTCGAAAAACCAAAAAAAAAAAAAAAAAAAAAAAAAAAACAGAGAAACCCTATCTCGAAAAACCAAAAAAAAATACTAATAAAAATAAATAAATAAATAAATAAATAAATAAATAAATAAAAATGGTGTCCTGGGGCTGGAGAGATGACTCAGGGGTTATGAGCATTGACTGCTCTTCCAGAGGTCCTGAGTTCAATTCCTAGCAACCACATGGTGGATCACAACCATCTACAATTCAATCTGGTGCCCTCTTCTGGGATGTAGAAAAAACACTGTATATGTAATAAATAAATCTTTTTAAAAAATGGTTTCTTGCGGCCGGGTAGTGGCTCACGGCTTTAATCCCAGCATTCCGGGATGAGATCTGGTGCCCTCTTCTGGCAGAACACTGTATGCATAATAAATAAAATAAACATTAAAAAAAAAACGGTTTCTCTGTGTAACCATGGCTATCCTGGAACTCATTCTGTAGACCAGGCTGACCTCGAACTCACAGAGATCCGCCTGCCTCTGCCTCCCAAGAGCTAGGACTAAAGGTGTGCACCACCACTGCCCAGCTCATTTTCAGATTTTACTTCTACTTTTAGGTGTGGAATCCATGCTGGATAAGTGCTCTATCTGGGGATGATTTTAGGCATGGAGTGAGCCACACGCCCAACTCCCCCAGATGCTCCTTACTCCCCTCCTTCCAGGGTCTCTAGCTGTCACGTTTATCCCAGCACAGCAGGGACAGACTGCTCTCAGAGCTCAAGGCCAGCCTGGTCTGCAGAGCAAGCTCCAGGACAGCCAGGGCTGCACAGAGAAACCCTGCCTAGAAAAGCAACAATCAAATAGATCCAGGGTCTCACTGTGTGGCCCTGGCTGGCCTAGAACTCCTAGAGGTCCACCTGCCGCAGCATTGAGGCTCATTTGTCTTTCCTGTCATCACTTTGTTGGGGGAGGGTTCTCTACAGAATTTACATCTGAGGCTTTGGCTTTTCCTCTGTGTTTGTTTGGCTTGGTTTTTGGAGACAGGGTTTCTCTGTGTAGCCCTGGCTGTCCTGGAACTCCATATGTAGATCTGGCTGACCTTGAACTCACAGAGATCCGCCCGCCTCTGCCTCCCGAGTGCTGGGATTAAAGGCTGCACCACCACCTCTGTTCTTGAATGTGTAGATTTGTGACCTTCCCATAACACCCCCCCAGACCTCCTTCCCAACAGGTGGCAGGTACAAGGACCCCCAGGGCCAGAGCAATAGGTTTGTAATTAGGCAGTGGCTATCTGGACAGAGTGGAAGCCGGGGCCTCACTGGAGGAAGTGTGTCTTGGGGACATGACAAGGTCCTTACCCCTGTTCCCTTCTGCTTCCTGGCCCTGTGAGTAACCATGTTTGGTTTCTCTTCCCATGATACTGAGCACACCAGGACGAGCCAAAATGACCCTTTTTTCTTCAAACTTTGCCCCCTGGGAAATGGCTTAGTGGATGGCATGCGCCCAGGCCTGATCGGGTCCACCTGCAGCTCAGCACCCGGTGTGGGGCAGGAGGACTCGTGGGGCTGCAGGCCAGCCAGTCTGGAGGAATCACTGAGCTCTGGGTCCAGGAGAGACCCCGCCTCCATAGCCGGGTGCAGCCAGACCAGGTTTGCCCCTCCCCTTCCATCCCAGCGCTCAGGAGCTGGGAAGTGAGTTCCTCCAGGCCAGTCGGGGCTACACAGTAGGGCTTGCTCTCAGAGCTAGCACCATAAGGTGGGGCCGAGAGACCACTCAGCAGTTAAGAGCACCGGCTGCTCTCAAAGAAGACCCAGGTTCAATTCCCATCACCCACGTGGAGGCTTACAACTGTCTAACTCCTGTGCCAGCGGAACCCACACCATATATGCCCTGGCTGTCCTGGAACTCACTCTGTAGACCAGGCTGGCCTCTAACTCTGAGATCCGCCTGCCTCAGCCTCCCGAGTGCTGGGGTTAAAGGTGTGCGCCACCACACAGGAGCCTGCACTTTGCTTTGGTACCGGGTCTCATCAAGCCAGGGTAGCTTGGAACACTATGTGGCTGAGGATGACCTTGGATTCCAGTTCTTATGCGGTGTGACAATCCTCATGTACCGTAACCGGATGTGTGCCGGATTTTTGTTTTCAAATTTATATATCATAAGAAGTACACATTATCTTTTTTTTTACACATTATCTTACATCCTTTACTTTTTCCTGATGTTAGGAACTTGTCTCAAAATAGAAAAAGAAACTTGGGCTTGGTGGCTTAGGTCCCAAGGTCATGGCTGGAGGCTCAGCTACACAGAGTTGGAGCCAGTTTGGGCTACATGAGACCCTATTTCAAGCAACAACAAGGGGTGGGGGGAAAGGAAAAGGGGGCTGGGCATTTAGCTCAGTGGTCCAGCACTTGTCTAGTGAGCACGAGGTTCTGAAGTAGATGCAGACAGTGGGGACATGAACCTTCAAACGCTGCAGAATACATAGAATTATCACAACCACGGCAAAAACCACGGCGCACGGGTGCCGAAGGGGAAGGTGGTTACCCGGGACACAAACTAAGCTATTCACTGATTAGCAGAACAGAGCAGAGCGTTCACGAAGGAGGCACAGGAAGGAAGGGTCGCCAGGCTCACTGGCGGGGTGCGCAGCCAGGCTGTGCGGCGGTGTGGGGTGCGGCTCGGTCTGAGAGTGCAGACCCCCCGTGGGGCCGGCGCTGCTGGCGTCGTGGGCCGCAAGGGCACACACGGCAGAAGGCCTGTCTGAAGTGTGAGCCCAGGAAGGCATAGAGCAGCGGATTGAGTGCTGAGTTGCTGTAGGACATGCAGTGAGCCCAGATCTTCAGCGCGTAGGCGGCATAGCTGCGAGGGTGCCAGGCTCCTGCGGGGCCCAGGGCCTGGAGCACCAGGAACAACTGGATTGGGCCCCAGCAGGCGGCGAACAGTAGGACTACAGCGGCCACCAACCGGGAGACCTTGGTGCGCACCGCTCCAGCGCGCTGTGCCAGCAGCTGTCCCTGGAGACCCAGGGATGTTAACGGGGAGAGACTGGCCCCTTTGAGATCCCTTCCCACACAGAGTCCGGGCTCCGATTGCCCCCCCCCCGCCGCCTCTCCATTCCACCCTGCCACCCCCACATGCACATGCCTACTCCAGGTTCCAATCCATCCCCCAACAGCCCCTCCATCCTACCCGGGGTTCCGCCCCCTCCTCCCCCCCCCCGGGGCCCGGTACACATGCACACACAGTCCGGGCTCCGAAATTCCCCTCTGGTGCCCCTCCATCCTGTGTCCTCGCTCATGCGCATACAGTCTGGACTCTCGAGTTCCCTCTGTCAGCACCGTGGGTCTCCCACACACACTTTCCCCCAGATTCCCCCTCCCTCCTGACCCTGAGTCCCCGGGCACCTGCAGCGCGCCGTCAGAGGGCGCGGGGCGCGCAGCAGCACGGCCCAGATGGCGCAGCATGGCGCCGTAGCAGGCGCAAGTGGCGAGCAGCGGCAGCAGGTACAGAGCCAGCAGGTTGTAGAGCGCGAAGGCGCGCTCCAGGGCGCGGCTGGGAAACGCCTCGCTGCAGTAGGTGTGGGGCCCCGGCGACAGGCGGTGCAGGGCCAGCACCGGGGTGGACACAGCTGCGGAGCCTGAGCCACCCGCTCAGGATAAGCACCGTGCCGGGAGAGTGGGGACATGTCCCACCCAGGAGCCAGGGCCTACCCCCAATCAGTGCCACGCCCCCCCCCCCGTCCTCCCCCACCCCAGATCGCACTCACCCACCCAGATGCTAAGGCTGACAGCCAGGGCCAGGCGGGGAGTGCGGCGGTGCAGGGCACGCAGAGGGAACACAGTCACATACCAGCGGTCCACACTCATGGCTGTCAGGGTGGCGCAGGTGGCTTGCACCGAGACCTGGAAAAGCCGAGGACTGAATGTGGGCGCCGCCAGTCCCACTATATATCTGACCACTCAGAGTCCACGAACATGTCCTGGGAGGAGTAGTCAGATGCCATGGGTTGAGGGGACCTGAAAAGAGCAGGACCTGAAAGTCGGGAGAGCGGGGAAGGAGGGAAACACTGGGGTTTGTTAGGCATCCCGAACACCCACACACACCCCGGAACACGCCCGCTGCGGGCTGTAGCCCACACCCACCCAGACTCGGTGTCCACTCCCAGTCTGTCCCACAGAGACCACTTGATGCACCTGTATTCTGGAGGTGTCCACGCTTGACTACCCTTCCCTGCCCTGGCTCTGACTTCTGCCCCGCAAGATCTCGTGGCCCTTTGGGACCTGGAGAGATGCTCAGTGGTTAGCGCACTGGCTGCCCCTGCAGAGGATCAGGATCTGTTCCCAGCACCCACCAGGCTCACCGCCTGTGACTCCTGTTCTGGGGACCCGAAGACCCCTTCTGGCCTTCTGGGGTACTGCACACGCGGGGTGTACAGACAGGGATGCAGGCGACACACCCTCACATAGGAAATAAAAGTACATTTAAATGGCGCACGCCTTTAATCCCAGCACTCGGGAGGCAGAGGCAGGCGGATCTCTGTGAGTTCGAGACCAGCCTGGTCTACAGAGAGAGTTCCAGGACAGCCTCCAAAACAATACAGAGAAACCCTGTCCTGAACAGGATAAACAAAGACCATGCCTCATTTCTGATCATGACCCCACACTGCGCACCCCAGACCTGCCCACCCAGCCTCTGGTCCCGCCCATGCCCCAGTCAGTCTCTCTCCGGAGCACACACCCAGCTCCTGGCCCCACCGCGGTCTGCCCGGGCTGACCCCATTGCTGCTCCCCGGCTTCCTGCTCCCCCACCTCGCCTCCGCCCCCATCAGCCCTGCGCACCTGCTGGATGTAGTTGACGAATTTGCACATGAAGTCTCCCAGCACCCAGGCGGGCAGCGGGTAGAGGAGCGCAGTGAAGGGAACGCAGCACAAGAGGAAGGTGACATCTGTGGCCGCCAGGTTGGCTACAGGTGGGGGACACGCGGACGCTGGAAGGTGGTGGCACCCAGAGCTCCCGAGGCGGGCCCCTGACCTCTCCATCCCGGTGGGAGGGACCCCGACACACACACACCCTCCGCTTCCATTACTCTGGTCCCCAGCCGCCCCGGGCGTCTCCGCGTCTCAGTCTCTAAATTGGAGACAGCAGGTAGCCCCAAGCTACAGGTCCCGGGTTAGGGCGTGTCACACACACCTCCGGTGCCTCCTGTCCAGAGGCCCTCACTCACGTCCCTAGGACAGACACCTGCAAAAATGGCCACGTCTCCTGGCGCAGGAGATGAGGGCGGGGCGAGGCAGGACGCACGGCAGGGGGATGCTGAGGTCTCGGGGCGGGGGGGACCCCGAACCCCGCGCCCACCCGGGAGCCCCAGGAAGGCGCGCACTCACCGATGTAGAAGTTGGTCACCGTCCGCATGTGCTTGTGGCGGCAGATGACGTAGATGACCAGCGAGTTCCCGACCAGCCCGAGCAACATGAGCACCGCGAAGAACAGAGGAACCAGCCAGGCGTCCAGGGGCCTGGGCGCCGAGCCCCGGCTGTCCGAGCCGTTGGCACCGCAGCCCGGGCATCCCGACGCGTTGACCGGAGCCCACCAGGTCGCGTTGGGACCCAAGGACGCCTCCGTGGCCATGGCTTGGCCGCCCTCTTCCTCCAGGCAGCCTTCGCGGATTGCGTCCCGAGACTGTGGGGCCGGGGGGGTGGGGGACCCCGCTCCTCCTCCTCCGGGGATGCCAGCCCACGCGGGGCTCTGCTGCAGGCGGGCGGAGGGGGCTGAAACGCAGCTCCCCTGCTCAGCGACGTCTTTTATACCCCGCGCCCCCTCCCTGGTCCCCGCCTTCGCGTCTCCCTGCGTAGCCGCCGCCCCAGAGCCTGGCGCGGGCTCTTCCCAGAGCGTGCCCGGATGAGAGGAGGGGGGGGGGGGCGCTGGGCACCAAGCAGGGGAGGGAGGGGTCGTGGTCCTCCCTCGCAGGGGCCAGCTTCAGCCAGGGCTGCAGGCAGGTGGCGCAGGCCCTGGGGGAGGGTCCCCAGGACCTTCGACTCCATTTGGCCCACTCTGACTGGCCCCCAGCGGCCCGTTCCTGTGGGAGGGTGGGCATCGTGGAGACCGTCAGTCAGCAGGAACCCTGAGGAACCGACCTAAGCCACACTGTCACACCCTAGGGGCCCCGAGGTGTTCTCCTTGGCACGCCACTGGAATACTATGCAGCGGAGAAAAAGTAAAAACGACTTAGAAGAGGGGAGACTCAGTGGCGATGTATTTCTTTTGTGTGTTTGAGTTTCACCCCCATGCTGAGGATGCTGAGGGCGCTGGACCCCTGGACAATCCTCTGCGGAGCAAGATGCCGGCCGGGGCCCTAGAATTAACCCCTTTCTATCCCTGCCACAGGTGTGTCCCCTCACAGCCTCTCCCCTCCGTTCCCTCTGGCCGGGATTCCTGAGCACAGGCCTCACCTGTCCACACGAAGCCTCGGGGTGGACGCCGACTTTGGTTTTAGTTAATTAACTAATTTTAAGAGTTTTTGTTTGTTTGTTTTGCTTTGCTTTTTAAGGATCAAAGGCGTGTGCCTTTCCCCGGAGCCCAGGCTGGCCCTGAACTTGCCGTTAGTTGATGATGACTTTAACTCTGACCCTCCCACCTCTTCTAACTGGTGCTGGGAGGCCAGGTGTGCGGCGCACCTGCCCTCCCTCCAATCCAATCCCTTAGCCCAGGCTGGCCTGGGACTCTCAGGACCCTCCCGCCTCAGCCCCGAGAGCACCGCCGCGGCCTCCCTCCTCTCTCTCCACCGGGCTGGTTCAGACCGGCCGGGGCCGGGTTTCCTTCTCGGCCTCAGTCCCCGCAGAGCCGGGCACCCCGGGCGGTTCCCGGGCGCGCGCCCCTTCCTGCACCCCAGGAGCCTGTCGCAGCTCCGTAGTCGCCTCCAGGCCGGTGTGTCCCACCCTCTCCCCCCGGGCGGCCGAGACTCTGTCCTCAGCCCTGTGGATGACACCGCGGGGTGCACACAGACAGGGAAACCGAGGCAGGGCCCCGCAGTCGAAGCTGCTCCCCGACTGTCCCCGCCCCCGGCCTCTGCAGACTCCGCCCCGCGCGTCACTTCCTCCGCGGCCACGGGCCGGGCTGCAACCCCGGCAGCAGGCCATGGTGGCTCTGGACGACCCTGGCGACGCCCCGGAGGCGACCCCCGGCGCGGAGAACAGGCTGTGAGCAGGGCTGGGGGGCTGGGCCTCTTCCGGGGCTCCCTCCTCCCGGGCTGGGGTCTCCTCCTCCTCCCTAGGCTGGGGTCTCCTCCTCCTCCCTAGGCTGGGGTCTCCTCCTCCTCCCTAGGCTGGGGTCTCCTCCTCCTCCTCCCCAGGCTGGGGTCTCCTCCTCTCCCTCCTCCTCCCCAGGCTGGGGTCTCCTTCTCTCCCTCCTCCTCCCCAGGCTGGGGTCTCCTCCTCTCCCTTCTCCTCCCCAGGCTGGGGTCTCCTCTCCCTCCTCCTCCCCAGGCTGGGGTCTCCTCCTCTCCCTCCTCCTCCCCAGGCTGGGGTCTCCTCCTCTCCCTCCTCCTCCCCAGGCTGGGGTCTCCTTCTCTCCCTCCTCCTCCCCAGGCTGGGGTCTCCTCCTCTCCCTCCTCCTCCCCAGGCTGGGGTCTCCTCCTCTCCCTCCTCCTCCCCAGGCTGGGGTCTCCTCCTTTGCTCCCTCCTCCCTGTTCTCGTCCTCCCCAATCCCCTCCCATGGATGTGTTCTCTCTCCACCCACACCCCTTTTCCTGGCTGCTCACCACAGACAGCCCCCACCCCTGCTCCGTGGGGATTGCCCGCTCTATGGGACCTCCTGCTCTATGGGGAGGTCGCTAACCTGGCCCAGAATCTGGGATTTTCCTGTTCACTCCCCTTCCTGGCACGGAACTGGCAAGCCAAAACTGCCCAGTTTCCTCTGAGGGTTCCCATCCCCTCCGCTGCCCTGGCCGTGGTCACTCTGTGTCTCTGAGGGTCAGTTCCCAAGGTGGTGGGAAATGGTCTATCCTGGAACAGCAGGTGTGGCACCCTATCGAGTGTGGCTACCCAGGAGTTTGGCTCCTGTGACCCCTGGCCCTGTGTGATGAGATGGCTTGGCCTCCGGACAGCTGCTGAGCCTTTCTGTGCCTTCGTTTCCCCCGGCTGTGAATGATGTGGACAGAGGCTTCCATTCCTCGTTGTGGGATAGAGGAGGGGACCACACAGGACGTGGCAGGACCCACAAAACCCTGCTTCCGTAGTGTCTAGCATCCGGGGTCCTGTTTGGTTCTACCTTTGCCTGTTGGATTTATTTTAAATTAGTTTTCAAAATATTTTATTTTTCGTGTGTGTGTGTGTGTGTGTGTGTGTGTGTGTGTGTGTGTGTGTGTGTGTGTTAGTTACCTGCGGAGGCCGAAAGGAGGCGTCAGGTCCCCAGAATTGGCGTCACAGGCAGTTGTGAGCTCCCTGTGGGTGCTGGGAACAGACCCAGGTCTTCTGCAGGGGCAGTGCCCGTGAGGGTCTCTCCTGTCCTGTCCTTGTTCTGTTCTGTTTGTTTGACTCAGGGTCCCAGGTAGCCCAGGCTGGCCTCAGGCTCTCTGTGTAGCTGAGGCGGACCTTCAGCTCCTGATCCTCCTGCCTCAGCCTCCTGGGACCTCGCCCAGCTATCTCGAGCGTCCTTGCTGTGGCTCCAGTGTAAATAAGTTTATGTTTCGGTGAATTACTTTCCATCGGGCCTCACCCAGGTGTCCACCTGCCTGCTGGGTGTTAGGGGTGCTGAGTCACATCCACCCTGCTTCCTGTTGGGGAACTGGGTTTCTCTGCTGTTCCGGGAGCGTTTGCCAAAGAAGGTGTGTTGTACTCAGGGTGTGTCTTGGCAAGTCAGGGTCCCATTGCCCAACCAGCAGAATGCAAAAAAAAAAAAAAAAAAAAAAAAAAAAGAGTGTGTTCCCAAACCCCTACTGACTTAGCGCCATCTGCCTGTGTCCTCGCCATTCCAGCCAGGTGCTGGTCACACTCTGAGGTCTCAGACACTTCCTCTGGCTTGTCAGCTTCAGTTTCTGTGGAGTGGTCTGCTTATGGGGGAAGGCATATATACTCCTTCAGCACACTCTGGCGTTGCCTGCGGTCTGCCTGCTGGTCACTGGGGCGGCACAGGGAGCACGTGAGCAGTGAACAGCGAGGACCATCTGGTTCCCGGTTGGCACAGCTTTGAGAGGGGCTGATTGGACCACTCTGCCACCTTCTGGGAGGTGACATTTGGACAGAGATCAGAGTCTGGCAGAACTTGTGCAAGTTTGAATTCAGGGAACACTTCTGTCTCGGGGGGCCCTTGGAACCCACAAGAGGGTGGTGATGTCTCCAAAGCCCTTCTCTAGAACTGAGCAGCGCTGCCGGCCAAGGAGCATAGAGGGCTCGCCCTAGCGGCGCTAGGGAGCTGTGGTCAGCCCCAGCCTGGTGGCCTTTGGGCTGAGGGGGCTCAGCTGTCCACGCTGGAATCCTGGCTCACGTGTGTCCCTGTTCCCCTGCCGCACCAGTCTGTCCTCCCTGCAGGACAGCTGCAGCTCCTTATCAGCCACCAGTCGCCAGGGTGTGGCCTTGAATGCCTAGGGGTGCGTCCAGGGCAGAAGTGGCCTAGCCTCAGACCTCAGGGCCTGCAGAGACTTGGTAGCTGGCCTAGTAGTTCCCTCCTGTTGGGGGGGTCTCGGGTAGTTCCCTCCTGTTGGGGGGTCTCGGGTAGTTCCCTCCTGTTGGGGGGTCTCAGGTAGTTCCCTCCTGTTGGGGGGGTCTCGGGTAGTTCCCTCTTGCTGGGGGGGTCTCGGGTAGTTCCCTCCTGTTGGGGGGGTCTCGGGTAGTTCCCTCCTGTTGGGGGTCTCGGTTAGTTCCCTCCTCTTGGGGGGGTCTCAGGTAGTTCCCTCCTCTTGGGGGGGTCTCGGGTAGTTCCCTCCTCTTGGGGGGGTCTCAGGTAGTTCCCTCCTCTTGGGGGGGTCTCGGGTAGTTCCCTCCTGTTGGGGGTCTCGGGTAGTTCCCTCCTGTTGGGGGTCTCGGGTAGTTCCCTCCTGTTGGGGGTCTCGGGTAGTTCCCTCCTGTTGGGGGGGTCTCGGGTAGTTCCCTCCTGCTCAGGGGGGACCCAGGCAGGCAGGTGTTCCTCCCTAGTCCCCAGGTCCCCAGGGACCTTTTCAGCACAACCACTTGTGGCCTGGGGGCGGGGACCCCACCAGAGCTGAAGCTCCAGGCACCAGCCCTACACAGCTTGAATAGACCGCCTGGGGCCTGAGTGGCTGAGCCTGCTACTCCCCCTGGTCTGCACGGGCTCCCCAAGCCCACTGCTTGGCCACCTGCCCCCTGTGGCTCTTGCCCTGTTCTGCTGTGGCTCCTGGGTGCCCTTCTAATCCCTTTGCCCGATTAGCACCGTCTTCAGGAGTTAGCTCTGGCGGGCTCCTGGGGGAGGGTGCTCCGCTGGTTTCCATAAGCTCCTGCCCCTTGAAATCCTGAAGCTCTTGACTCTTTTCTGGTTTACAGGGCATGGGGGAGACCGTCCTCTTCAGGGGGGTGACATTCAATCTCTAGAGTACATGGCTTGTGGCTTAAGTTGGGGGGGCTGGAGGGGTTTAGGGGCCACCAGTTTGTGTGACTAGGGCTCATGCCTTCCCTTCTTGGAGCCTCAGTTTACCCCTCTTGCATCATAACCCGAGTCCTGAGATTCCATGGGGCCCAGGTCTCCACACACAGGAGCCTGGGCTGTATGTGTGGGGAGGGGGTACAACTCAGCATTGCCAGGGACACTGAGGCCCCTGACCGGCTCCTCCCCGGCCCACAGGCCCCTCCCTGGCTGCCTGCCCACGGTCGGTGGGTCCCAGGTGAAGAGGGTCTCAGCCTCCAGGCGCAAGCAACATTTTATCAACCAGGCTGTGCGGAATTCGGACCTGGTGCCCAAGGCCAAGGGACGGAAGAGTCTGCAGCGTTTGGAGAACAGTAAGCAGGGCGTGGGGTGTGTCGACGCTATGCTTCCCTGGCTGTGAAGCACATACTGACCAGGCATTAGAATAGGGGCTTCAGAGGATGCATAGGAGTTTGGTAAGGCAAGGGAGCTACATGGGATTCTAGAGACTGGCTGGGTGAAAACAAAACAAAACTTGACAGTCAAGTGAGTAGTGACCTCAAACCCTGTCTCAACCCATGGGCCCTGTTTCCATCCAGCCCGGTACCTCTTAACACTGCTGGAGACAGCTGGGGGTCCTTCAGGCCTGGAAGATGGGGACCTGACTCCTCCTGCGGCGCCTGGCATCTTTGCAGAGGCTTGCAACAATGCCACCTACGTGGAGGTGAGACTTCCCCCACCCCCCGGCAGCCGGAGATGCGCCCAGACCTCCCCCGGGTTCATCTGCTCTCCGTGTTAGAATAGAGGACGACCAGTTGGAGACTGTGACACACGTGACAGCGTGTGGTGGCCTCACGCTGGCTTCTGTGCAGTGCATGGGTCATGCCTGCTGTACCCCTGTGCATCCTTTGGAACCCCAGCTCAGGCCGCACACATGGGAGGCCTCCTGTGTGTGTGCCGGGTGGCCTGCGTGTGGCCGTTGGCAGACCCAGGAGCCTCCGGGCTAGCCTGCATCCCTCTTCCAGGTCTGGAATGATTTTATGAACCGCTCTGGAGAGGAGCAAGAACGAGTGCTCCGCTACTTGGAGGATGAGGACCAGGGCAAACGGAGGCCCGGGCGCGGGCCTGGCCGAGGGGAAGACAGGCGGAGAGGTAGGGCGTGGGCGGGGTCGGGTCATGGGTGGGCGTGGGGCCTTGAGGCTGCGAGGCCCCTTGGTCACCTTGGTGGGCACAGGCACCAGATTCCCCAGTGGATGTGCCCGGGCTCAGGGTGTGTCGCATGTGGGCGGGGCCAGCCCAGGGTGTGGTCGGCCTGGGAAACTGAGCCCTCCCTGCCCCACCTCCGCAGAGGACCCAGCCTTCACGCCTCACGAGTGCTTCAGGCGCATCAGCCGTCGCCTGCGGTCCGTGCTCAAGCGCAGCCGCATCCCGATGGTGAGTGGCCCCATCTTCTTCCAACCTGGCCTTTCCGTGTCACCGGCAGGAGCCATCTCGGTGGCCTAGTGGTTAGGAGGAGGAGGACGGTCCCAGTGCGGGTGGGTGCTGCAGGGCATGCGGGAATCTCACAGACAAAAGGAGGGCCAGGTGTGTGATGTTCCAGTGCCCGACACCCTGAGACAGCTAGGGCCCCCGTCACGTGGATTTTGTGACCCCCACAGGAAACCCTGGAGAGTTGGGAGGAACGTCTGCTGGCGTTCTTCTCCGTGTCTCCCCAGGCTGTGTACACCGCCATGCTGGACAACAGGTACAGGAGCTGGGGAGAGGAGGGTGCTCGCCCTCCCCGCTGAGGCTCAGCCGCTCACGCCCCCTCCCCGCTGAGGCTCAGCCGCTCACGCCCCCTCCCCGCTGAGGCTCAGCCGCTCACCCACTGCACGCTCCCCTGCTCGCTGAGGCTCAGCGGCTCCTGCCCCTTCCCCGCTGAGGCTCAGCCGCTCACCCACGGCACGCTCCCCTCCCCGCTGAGGCTCCCCCGCTCCTCCCCTCCCCGCTGAGGCTCCCCCGCTCCCCCCTCCCCGCTGAGGCTCCCCCGCTCCCCCCCTCCCCGCTGAGGCTCACCCGCTCACGCCCCCTCCTCTACAGCTTTGAGAGGCTCCTGCTCCACGCCGTGTGCCAGTACATGGATCTCATCTCAGCCAGTGAGTGCCCCCACTGCCCCTTCACCCATTCCTCCTAAGGAAGCAGGGGTCCTGGGGCCCAGCCAGAGACCCGGGATGTGTCGTGTGGGTTCATAGCAGAGCCAGTTAGTGAACTCATGAAGGGCGTGCTCTGGTGTCCAGTGGGCAGATACCCTCCACCCACAGCTCCAGGGAAGAGGGACCAACGTGAGGCTGTTAAGGCCTGAGTCCAGACGGGGAGAGGAGACAGAGGTTTTCCCAAAGCTACAGCCTTTATCTCTGTTTTCCTGTATACCCAGTGCTGCCCCCTTCCAGGGATGGTCGTCGGGGACCCTGGTGGCTCCAGGCGCCCCATCTGGTTCTTCCTTTTCTGCCCATCTCTGCCTCCTGCTTGGAGTTGCTGTGGTGACAGTTTCCGTGGCAACCCGGGGAATTGGTTCCTCTGGTTTCCATCTGGGGCAGGAAGCAGCGGCCTCCATGTCTGCCTCTCCTCACAGACTGAGGATGGAGAGTGTGGGGGAGGCTTCTCTGTAGGGACTGGACAAACTGGGTCCCCTGGACAGGGGGTCACAGCTCATAGCTAGCCACACATCCCTCCTACCACCCAGTTTCTTTTGTTGGTCTTGGGTGTAGCTGAAGCTAGCCTCCAATGCATTTGGGCGCACAGGCTTCTGTGCGTGGGGTCCTGACCCTCCTGCTTCCTGGGCCTTGCGTGTGCCAGGGGGACCCTCTGGCCCAGCTCCTGCGGTCCTCACGTGACTTGTCCGCAGGTGCCGACCTGGAGGGCCGGAGGCAGATGAAGGTCAGTAACCGTCACCTGGACTTCCTGCCGCCAGAGCTACTGTTGTCTGCCTACCTGGACCAGCAGTGATGGCGGAGCCCCTGCCTGCCGACTCGCCCCGCCGAGACCGCCAGTGTCTGCTAATGTCTTGCATACTTTCAGAATCGGAACACCCTCCCTTCTCTTTGGGAGCCCCCGGCCCCTGTCCCTTCCCGGCCCAGCTCCCACAGGGCAACCTGGTAGCCCCCTCCTCTGGTACTTGTATTCAGGTGGGGAGGCCTGAGCTCAGCTATCCCATGCTCATTCTGTTTAGCTTTTCTTTGGCGCAGTCTGAAGCTCAGGTGGGGAGACTCTTTTACCCCCGCACCCACGCCGTCAGTTTTAATGGATTTGGCATGTTTGGGATAGGTTTGCTTTACTTTCTCCTCTGAAGCATTGAGACACAACCAAAACACCTAGCGCCAGCTGGTAGTGGGTTCTGTTGTGACCCCTGCCCGACCCCTCCAGGTTTCCGCTCTGGTGGGAGTGTCTGGTCCTCTCTGGACTGGCAAACCTCCCCAGGGCACTTTGTCGAGTGTGTGTGTGTGTGTGTGTGTGTGTGTGCCCGTTTGTATGCGTGTCTGTGTGTGTGTGTTTGTGCGTATGTGTGTGTGTGTGTGTGTGCATGTTTGTGTGCGTGCATGCGTGTGTGCATGCCATGTGCCTGGTGAACCTGGACAAGCTTCGTCTCAAGGGCTGATTTTATGCTTTTTTTGTGATGTGTGTTTCCTGTGCCCAACTCCCTGGGCTCCGCCTGCCCTTCAGACCCTCCTGTCACTCCTTGTCCCTGGGTCCAGGGCTTCCAGCCAGAAGCGTCTGACCTTGCGTGCCCCGCCCCCTCTGCCGCCCAGCATATCTGTGGTCACTGCAGAGGCCCCACAGGCCTGACCCCTCCCCCTCTGTGTGGTTCTTTGTGCTTGGGGGAAAGGGACACTTTTAATAAAGCCTTGGTGCTCGGGGCCTGGCTGTGTGCATGTCTTTGGGCTCGGTAGGGAAGTCACAGGTGGCCAGAAGTCTGGACACACGGGCAGTCTCCAGTCCTGATTCTTTAGTTCAGTTTAAAGTGTGTGAAATGCCTAAAGATGGGGTACCAGGGTGTGGCTCTGATTGTGTAGCATGCTCAATTGCATCCCCAGCACCATATACCCTGAGTTTGAGGCTAGCTTGGGCTACGTGTCTTTTGGGACAGGGTTTCTCTGTGTAACTCTAGCAGTCCTGGAACTTTCTCTATAGACCAGGCTGCCCTCAAACTCAAGAGATCTGCCTGCCTCTGCCTCCTGACTGCTGGGATTAAAGGTCCAACGTCAGACCTATGCATCTCATGTAGCCCAAGCTAGCTTCAAACTCATGGTGTCAGAGACCCTGCCCCAAAAAAGTAAAAACAACCCAAATGTAAGCTGGGCATTGATGGCGCATGCTTTTAATCCCAGCACTCGGGAGGCAGAGGCAGGCGGATCTCTGTGAGTTCGAGGCCAGCCTGGTCTACAGAGTGAGTTCCAGGACAGCCTCCAAAGCCACAGAGAAACCCTGTCTCGAAAAAAAACAAAACAAAAAAAACAACAAATGTAGGGGCTAGAGAGATGGCTCAGAGGTTAAGAGCACTGACTGCTCTTCCAGAGGTCCTGAGTTCAATTCCCAGCAACCACATGATGGCTCACAACCATCTGTGATAAGATCTGGTCCCTTCTCCTGGCTTGCAGACATACATAGAGGCAGGATGTTTGTAGTATTCATAATAAATGAATAAAATCTTTTTAAAAAAACCAATGTAAATGGAATAAGTAACAGCTGAACTCGTGGCTCAGCGTTGCACAGAAGAATCTCAACCTCAACAGTGTGAGGCCAACCTGAACCATACAGCCTGTGCCTCAAAAAACAAAGGGAGGAAATACAGTTTTGCCGCTTATGTAGAGCGTTAATTTCACCATCAGTAAATGTGTCGGAGATAAGCAGTCTGTAAACAACTACTGAGCGTTAGAAAAAAAGACTAGAAGCATGACTTGGTGTTTCTGGGGGATGGGCAAAATATGGAACGCTTCACGAATTTGCGTGTCATCCTTGCGCAGGGGCCATGCTAATCTTCTCTGTATCGTTCCAATTTTAGTATATGTGCTGCCGAAGCGAGCACAAACCCCACGCTCGTCCAGACAGTATTTATAGTCTCTGAATTCAAGCCCTTCTCCGTTAGGGTGACTGCAGTCTCGCTACGAAAGTCCCATTATTTCTCTACTTTCTTTTATATAAGACTAAACCTATAATGCAAAATGTAGCTAGTGATCAGAAAGGACAGATTATTTGTCTTTTTTCGTACACAGAGCCGCAATGGCTACTAGGAATTACAATATGCAAATTGACCGGGTAGGAGGTGGAGCCGGGGCTCTCCCAGAAGTCTGTGCGAGGGGCCGGCGCGGGCCGAGAGATGGCGGCGCCCGATCCCGGGCGCTGGGGCGAGTGTGGACCGCGGCAGCCCGGCCGCCTGGGCGCTCGGGGCGGACAGGTCAGTGCCAGGACGCGGAACGCATGACCGGCGCAACCCGGGCGACGACCACGAGCGGAAGGCCGAGGGGCGGAGCCTGAGGGGTCAGAGGGCGGGCCGGTGAGCAAAGCTTCCTGGGTAGCGGACGGTGTGGAATGGGCGTGGTCAGGACCCGTGCTCGCGGTGAAGCCTGAGGCGACCAGGCCGAGGAGGCGTGGCCTGAGAGTATGGGGATGACCGGAAGGGGCGTGGTTTGCGTAAAGAGTTGAGCGGAGGGGCGGAGCCTGAAGGAATGAAACTGCTAGCGATGGGCGTGGCCTAGGGAGCAGTGTTTGAGAGGGGTGGGAGCCAGGCATGATGGTCTGGCAGTGATGGAGGGGTCCTTGGCCTGATAATCACCAGCTAAGGAGAGGGTCTGCCCGGGCGGTGGTGCGCACCTTTGATCCCAGCACTCGGGAGGCAGAGGCAGGCGGATCTCTGTGAGTTCGAGGCCAGCCTGGTCTACAGAGCGAGTTCCGGGACAGCCGCCAAAGCCACCGAGAAACCCTGTCTTGAAAAGAAAAGAAAAGACTAGAAGACACTAGAAGACGAGGGTTTGGAGCCTAGGGCCTTAGAAGGTGTGGGTGGCTTGGCGAGCTTGTGGGACGTGGTTGAAGCCACCCGGGTCTATGTCTAGGCTCAGGATTTAGGTCTTGGGCCCAGCTTTGGAGGCTAACTTGTTGGGGGCCGGGCTGGGGGACTTGGAGGGGCAGGAGTGGGGCCTGGCTGTGGAGGGAGCTTAGTGCTCGGAGGCTGGGCTCAGGCTGAGATCTGGGAGGGAAACTTTAGGCCCGGCATCAGGGAATTTAGAGGAGGGTTCGGGCTTCAGGCACTGGAGAACATTCTAGACCCACTTTAGCCAGGACCTCCCTGTTCCCCAGGAGCCAGGGGCGGTGCTGGGTGCCGTGGGCATGATGGACCTGGCCTACGTGTGTGAGTGGGAGCGGTGGACCAAGAGCACCTACTGCCCCTCGCTGCCCCTGGCCTGCGCCTGGTCCTGCAGGAACCTCATCGCCTTCACCACAGACCTCCGAAACGATGACCAGGGTGAGTGCTTGGGACCTGGGCACCCACGCCATAGAGGGAGCCTCTCCAGTTGTGGATCCGCCACACCTCGGATTTCCAGACCCGGTGTGTCCCAGTTTGAAGGGCTCGAGGTGGCAGAGCCAGGCCCTCTGTTGCGGGTGAGAGGGTTAGGGAAAGCGGGCACATCCTGTGGCGGTCTCTAACGTTAGTGCCTCTGAGAGGGACGCTGTGTCTGGGCTGCCCTGCATAACCCCGTCCAGGCAGTGAGCAGCATGGAGGAGCTCGCGACCTCACCTGCTCTCTTCCGTTGCAGACCTGACGCGCATGATCCATATTCTAGACACCGAACACCCCTGGGAAGTGCACTCCATCAGCTCTGGCCACAGCGAGGCCATCACCTGCCTGGAATGGGACCAGTCAGGTGAGGCCACGGGCTCCACGCTCAGTCCAGAGCCCTGAGCGGCGCAGCTGCCTTCTGCAGTCCCCGTCCTACATCCAGAGTGGCGCACAGCCACCCTGCCCGTCTGCCGCTGTCCCCACAGGCTCCCGGCTCCTGTCAGCTGACGCGGATGGGCAGATCAAATGCTGGAGCATGGCTGACCACCTGGCCAACAGCTGGGAGAGCTCAGTGGGCAGCCAGGTGGAGGGGGACCCCATCGTGGCGCTGTCCTGGCTGCACAATGGTGTGAAACTCGCCCTGCACGTGGAGAAGGTGAGGGCCCCTGAGGGGGCTGTGAGGGCCCGCTGGCAGCGGCTGCCGTCCCCGCTGAGCCTGCCCTTTCCATGATGGAATGATGGCCTCTATGGGGTGGCCCTGTTTAACAGGAGCTGCATCCAGTGGTGTCCTATTTCACAGATGGCTGCTATGTGGCCTTCAGACCCCAGGCCGCTTTGATTTAATGATGACCCAGAATTCCCCTGTCCATGTGCATTCTGAAGCTCAACCAGTGAGGAGTGGGCACCAACGGAGTTGGACTCAGGGCATCTGAGAGTCTACTTCCTCAATAACGGAGGGGAGGTGGACGCCTCTGGACACCTGTGAGGAAGCGGGCATGGCCAGGCATCCGTTCCACGATTGTTCACGTCCTTGGGGCCCAGCAGCCTCCACTTGCCTGCTGAGACCACTCCTACCTGTGGCAGGCTTTCTTTTGGGCCACCAACAGCTCCCAAATCAAGGCAGAGACTTATTAGTTATGAAACCTCAGCCTTAGCCTAGGCCTGTCCCACCAGCTCTTATAACTTATTTTAACCTGTTTCTCTTCATCTGTGTTTTGCCTCAGGGATTTTTACCTTTCTTTCATTCTGTTTGGCTGGCGGCTGCCTGCCTGCCTGACCCCAGGCATCATCTCTTTCTTTTGCGTGTATGTGGGGGAGGGGTTCCGAGACAGGGTTTCTCTGTATTGCTTTGGAGCCTGTCCTGGAGCTCAGGCTCTGTAGACCAGGCTGGTCTCAAACTCAGAGGTCCGCCTGCCTCTGCCTCCCGAGTGCTGGGATTAAAGGTGTGTGTCACTATTTAAATAATGCGCCCAGCTACAAATCTTAAAAAAATAATGTAAAACAAGCCAGGCGGTGGTGGTGCACGCCTTTAATCCCAGCACTCAGGAGGCAGAGGCAGGCGGATCTCTGTGAGTTTGGGGCCAGTCTGGTTAACAGAGTGTGTTCCAGAACAGCCAGGGTGAGACAGAGAATCCCTGTTTCAAAACACAGAACAAAATAACTTTATCGAGATGGTCGTGGTAGTGCCTCGTCCTCATTCCTGCTCGTGGAAGGCTGAGACAGGAGGACCATAACTCTGTCTCAAACAAACAAGGTGTGTTTTGTATGTGAATTACACCAGTTTGCAAATGGAGACTACAAGGACGATAGTAGCGGTGCTGAGGCAGCACTCCACAGGAAGCGCACACCTCCCCGCCTGCTCTTGGGTGAAGCTTTGGTGGCACCATAGCCTACTACCACCTGCCATCTTGCTGCCTCTGAGGTCCCAACTGAGAAACGGAAGGACCAAGTTTAATCCCCTGAGGAATCCCCTGCTTGCGAATTACAGAAGAGGAGGCTGTGTGATAGAGAGGCCCCGTCATGCAGTGCTCTTGCCACATTGTTGCTCTGTGCGCGTGGGGGTCATAGAAGGTGAACCCCAAGTAGCTGAGCAAGCTCTTCCTTCCGTTTCCCCCTCCTGCAGTCCGGTGCCTCCAGCTTCGGGGAGAAGTTCTCGCGTGTGAAATTCTCTCCTTCACTCACGCTGTTTGGTGGCAAGCCCATGGAGGGTTGGATTGCAGTGACAGTTAGTGGCCTGGTGACTGTGTCCCTGCTGAAGCCGAGCGGACAAGTACTGACGTCCACTGAGAGCCTGTGTCGGCTGCGGGGCCGAGTGGCGCTCGCCGACATCGCCTTCACGGGCGGTGGGAACATTGTGGTGGCCGCTGCAGACGGCAGCAGCGCGTCACCTGTGAAGTTCTACAAGGTGTGCGTGAGCGTGGTAAGCGAGAAGTGCCGCATAGACACTGAAATCCTGCCCTCCTTGTTCATGCGCTGCACCACGGACCCCAACCGCAAGGACAGGTTCCCCGCCATCACACACCTCAAGTTCCTGGCCCGAGACATGTCGGAGCAGGTAAGCGCCCAGCATCCCTTGGCTGTGGCTCCTTCATCCACCTCCGGAGCGGGCATGGTGTCTCTCCCCAACCCCACCGTGAAACCAGGCTCTGGATGATCCAGGCAAGTCCCCAGCTCAGAGTCCCCAGCTTGAGTCCCTCTCCCGAGTCCCCAGACCTGTCTTGGGATAGATACGTGCTGACCGTCTTTGGGGCTGTTATCCCTGTGGTTACCCTGGTGTTCTCACTGAGTTTGTAATTCAGGAGGCCCTGCGCATCCTGGCATATCTTGAGGTATCTTGAGGACCTATAGCTAAAGGATGCAAATAGGCCTGGGAGGCAGGTGCCCCAGGGGACAGCCACCCCACCCTGTCCTCACTGAGCCCCGCCCCCAGGTGCTCCTGTGTGCCTCCAGCCAGACCAGCAGCCTGGTGGAGTGCTGGTCTCTGCGGAAGGAGGGCCTGCCTGTGAACAACATCTTCCAACAGATCTCGCCTGTGGGTGAGTCAGGCAGGGGTCGGGAGCCACCAGGGGTCCGTTAGCTCATGGGATTTCAGGTTTCTATGAGACAGGGTCTCTGTGTTCCTGGCTGGCCTCTAATGCACAGTACTCCATCCGCCTCTGCCTCCTGGGCCCCAGGCTTAAAGGTGTGGCCTCTAATTTTTGGATTAACTTGATCTTCAAAAGTCCCGGGAGACTTGGCTTCCTGGCTAGAGTGGGATGGAAGGCTCACCAGTCTGGTCGGCCTGGAAGCCGGAGACCAAGGGCTGAGCTGTCAGAGGGCATGCACAGCCAAGGGAGGCGACCTAGAAATCCCAGTTCCAAGAGAAGTCTGCTGGCTTTACCAGCGCCTCTCTCCAGAGCGCCTCCTAGACCTCCGCTTCCTTCCCTGAGCCTGCCCTGCAGCAGCCTGGCTCAGAAAGGGAGGCGGGAGGCAGAGTTAATGGGCCCTGGTGGCTTTAGAGGTGGCTGCAGGACCTAATCGGCGGCCTAATGAAGTTGTATCAAGAGGCCACTCACTACAGTTATATAAACGGCCCTTGTGGCCACTGAGTAATTAAATGTGAGTAGATCCTGCTGTGTTTCCTGCAGATGCCTGTGGTCACCGGGCAGTCTGGGCTCTGGCGGCAGGGCCGGCACCTGTCGCACACGTCCACTGGGCCTTCCATGCACATCCCCAGAGCACGATGCCTGCTGTGGGCCTGGCGAGGGTGAACACACCAGCCGGGGCCTAGTTCTCCTGCCCAGTGTGTGGTGCCTGGGGTGAAGCTGAGGCTTGGTGACCATGGCGACAGGAGCCAAGAGGCCCTGGATACCAGCCGCTGGCTTCCATTGGCCACTGACCAGATTCTCAGTGGTCCTCCTGCCTCTGCCTCTGCAGAGCTGGTGTGACTGCCATGCACTGCCCATCTGTGTCTGCCTCTGCTTTTACACCCCTGTGAGAGAGAGCCTCCACCACAGGAGCCCCGACTGCTCTAAACAGGGGGCTGTAGCCGTTCTGGTCCCCTTGCTGGGGCTCCCCGTGGGGTCAGGACTGGTTTCAAAGATGGGGACTGACTGACAGGTAACTGGTCTCAGAGGGGCTGGGCTCCATCCCCAGCAGGGAGTGAACTGGGCACATTGGGGAACACCTGTCACCCCAGCACCAAGGAGGTGAGGCAGGAGAGTAAGAGCTCAAGGCTAGCCTGGGCTACTTAGGGAGTTCAAGGCCACCCAGTTTCAAAACAGACAAGAGGAACCCTTGGACTGGATCCTGCCAGTCCCCAGGCCAACTGGCTGGAGGAGAAGTACTCTGATTGGCCATGCTGAGTCTTCCCAAATAGGGACACAAGTGGCCCTGCTACCCTGAGGTGGAGCTCCTTCCTGTACTCCTCCCACACCCCTGTCTTTCCTGTCCCAATTGTCCAGTCGGTGACAAACAGCCCATGATCCTCAAGTGGCGAATCCTGTCAGCCACCAACGACCTGGACCGAGTATCAGCAGTGGCACTGCCCAAACTGCCCATCTCACTCACCAACACGGACCTCAAGGTGGCCAGTGACACCCAGTTCTATCCTGGCCTCGGTATGGTGAACCCGGGAGCAGCCAGCACCGCACCTGGCCGTGTGGGGTGGGAAGGGGATATTTAGTGCCGTGGGTTCCCAGTCTCATGGAATGAGTGCCAACTGTCTCCCTGCCAAGTAGCTGTGCTCCTTAATATATAAAGAGCTGTGGCCAGTTAACACATGCCTTAATACGTAGACTGATTAACTAAAATGTGTACAGCTATAGCCAGTTAGGAGAAAGCTGTGCCTAATACATAAAGAGTTGTGGCTAATTGACAGTGAGTTGAAACCCTTTCACAGAGCAGACACATAATCATCCGGAGTTCGGCTCCCTCAGTCCGGTGCCTTCTCAGCTGCTCAGCTATGAGGGGGCGTTGCCTCTGGGTTTCTAGGTCTTTCTTTTCCTGACTCTCTGCTATATGATAGGGAGAATGCATTAAAGGTGGGGGCAGCTGGGTGGTGGCGGCACAGCCTTTAATCCCAGCACTAGGCAGGCAGAAGCTGGTGGATTTCTGTGAGTTTGAGACCAGTTTGGTCTACAAGAACTAGTTCCAGGACAGCCTCCAAAGTCACAGAGAAACCCTGTCTTGGAAAAAACAAACAAACAAATATATAAATAAAGGTGGGAGTGGTAGCTGAGCCTGAGGAGGACCCTGGGACAGAGCTTGGGGCTCTCTGGATCTTGAGGTCACTAAGGGAGACAGGGAGGGCAGCCGCTGTCCAGCCTGCACTGACTGCACTCCCCTACCCCAGGCCTGGCGCTGGCCTTCCAAGATGGCAGCGTGCACATGGTGCATCGCCTGTCACTGCAGACTATGGCGGTTTTCTACAGTTCAACCCCACGCTCCCTGGATGAGCCCGCCCTGAAGCGTCCGCGCACCACAGGCCCGGCTGTGCACTTCAAAGCTATGCAGCTTTCCTGGACATCGCTAGCCCTGGTGGGCATCGACAACCACGGGAAGGTGAGTGCCCAGACCGGGAGGGCAAAGGGCGGGCCGGTTGGGGAGGGGAGGGAGGGTTGGAGAGGAGGTTGTGGTGAGCAGCAGTCCCCTCAGCACAGCCTCCCCTCAGCTCAGCATGCTGCGCATCTCTCCTTCCCTGGGCCACCCTCTGGAGCCCAAGCTGGCTCTGCAGCACCTGCTGTTCCTGCTGGAGTACTGCATGGTGACGGGCTATGACTGGTGGGACATCCTGCTGCATGTGCAGCCCAGCATGGTGCAGAGCCTGGTGGAGCGGCTGCATGAGGAATACACTCGACAGAAGCCCGCCCTGCAGCAGGTGGGGCGCACACCGGGGGTGTGGACAGGGCCCACACAATCAAATGCCCCCTTGCTGCCAAGGGGAGGGAGTAACCTGCCCATCCCCTCTGTGGCATTGTGGGTGGAGCCCAAGGCCTAGCAGGTGCCAGGAAGCCACCTACAGTGATCCTGGTGGGCAGCTCAAATCCATACCTTCATCCTCACTCTGCCCCCAAGCTCGGAGGTCTTTCTAGATTGTTCTAAAATAGAACTCGTCCAAGGTGTGCATCACATGGGCTGCCAGAGGCATTGGCCACTGGCCCCCAGGGCAGAGGGAGAGGCAGCTGTTCAGAGAGAGTGACCCAAGCCCAGCTAGCTTGCGAGAGTCTGGAGGGGTGTGCAGGCCTGCGGACCATGCATTCCAGAAGCTGAGGCAGGGGGAGGACCCTGAGTCAGTGGTTAGTCTGGGCTGCAGAGCGAGATGTCACGTCAGAATGGAGCAGTCGGGGAGGACTGGGGTACAGCAGAACCTGTGGGGACTTGTAACTGGCCACTGTCACCCTTGCTAATGGGTGTCCTCACAGTGGCAGGGACATGATCTGTACCCACTGAATTACAGAGAGGGAAGCCCAGAGAGGCGACCCACATGCCTCTGGTTGCCTGGCAAGTGTCCCAGCCAAGTGGCCTTTTCCCATCATCCCGTGCTCTGGGGACCAAGTTGAGCACACCCTGGGCCCCGGATGTGAGCCCGCCAGGCCTTCCGCTTACGTCTGTGCCCCACCCAGGTCCTCTCCACCCGGATCCTGGCCATGAAGGCCTCACTGTGCAAACTGTCACCCTGCACGGTGGCGCGTGTATGTGACTACCACACCAAGCTGTTCCTCATGGCCATCACATCCACCCTCAAGTCACTCCTGCGCCCGCACTTCCTCAACACCCCTGACAAGAGCCCTGGGGACCGCCTGGCCGAGATCTGCGCCAAGATCACCGATGTTGGTGGGTGTGCGGCCTTCCCTGTCTGTAAAGAGCAAGGGTCATGGTGACCATTTAGTCCAAAGTCAGCCCTTGAGGTGGGTGCTGGAGCGGTGCCCAAGCCCCGTGCAGCCTTCATATCCATAACGTGCGTTGGGTTGGTGGTAGGTCACCACCAGCTGTGGTACCACACAAACATCAAGGGATTCAACGTCCTCCTTGGCTACATAGCAAGTTAGTGGCCAGCCTGAACTACATGAGATCCTGCTCAAAAGAAAAAAAATGTTTCTTCCAGTGCGTCGTAGAACCTCACACTGTGCCTGATGTGAGGTTCTTGTGTCTATAGTGTGCTTTTTCACAGCTGTGATATTCCTTCCTGCAGAGCTGTGGGAGCGACTGCCAGCTGTCCCGAATGAGTGCCACTTTCCTTTTTTTTTAAGATTTATTTATTATGGGCCGGGCGTTGGTGGCACACGCCTTTAATCCCAGCACTCGGGAGGCAGAGGCAGATGGATCTCTGTAAGTTCGAGACCAGCCTGGACTACCAAGCGAGTTCCAGGACAGCCTCCAAAGCCACAGAGAAACCCTGTCTCAAAAAAACAAAAAAGATTTATTTATTATGTACACAGTGTTCTGTCTGCATATGTCCCTGCAGGTCAGAAGAGGGCGCCAGATCTCATTACAGATGGTTGTGAGCCACCATGTGGTTGCTGGGAATTGAACTCAGACCCTCTGGAAGAGCAGTCAGTGCTCTTAACCTCTGAGCCAGCTCTCCAGCCCGAGTTCCACTTTCAGCTGCCCAGCATGGATGGGACCCTGCCCTGCAACCTGTAGAAATAGCTTTCCCCATGTTCCCTGTCCCCACAGACATCGACAAGGTCATGATCAACCTGAAGACGGAAGAGTTTGTTCTGGACATGAACACTCTGCAGGCACTGCAGCAGCTGCTGCAGTGGGTGGGTGACTTCGTGCTCTACCTCCTGGTCAGCCTGCCCAACCAGGTGAGCCCACCTCCCGCCCCGCCCCTGACCAGCCTGTCTCAGCTTCCCCTCCCGTCTCCGCTCCAGCCTCTGTTTTGGTGGGTGCGGCTGTGAGGCTGCCTCCCACTGTGGTGTTCCTGGCCCAGAAGCCGGTACCTCTGCCTCCCTGTCTGTCCCAGGTCATCTCAGGCTTCTGATCATCAAAGGCCTCCAGGCTGCAGGGTCACAGGTCAAGGCCCTGGGTTCCTGGGTTCTATGGGCGGTTAAGACAGCCACACTTGCCTGGTGGGTGCCTACCAGGTCCCTGACACTGCAGACACTGCACTGGCCATCTCTCGCTCTCTCTCTCTCTCTCTCTCTCTCTCTCTCTCTCTCTCTCTCTCTCTCTCTCTCGCTCTCTCACTCTCTCTCTCTCTCTCTCTCTCTCTCTCGCTCTCTCTCTCTCGCTCTCTCTCTCTCTCTCTCTCGCTCTCTCTCTCTCTCGCTCTGTCTCTCTCTGTCTCTCTCTCTCTGTCTCTCTCTGTCTCGCTCTCTCTCTCTCTGTCTCGCTCTCTCTCTCGCTCTCTCTCGCTCTCTCTCTCTCTCTCTCTCTCTTCCTTTCAAGATTTTATTTTGTGTATGACTGCTCCAACTGCTTGTGCTCCTTTATGCCAGAAGAGGGCATCAGATCTCATTATAGACAATATGAGCCACCATGTGGTTGCTAGGAATTGAACTCAGGACCTCTGGTAGAGCAGTCAATGCTGTTAACCTCTGAGCCATCTCTCCAGCCCTGGACTGGTCATTTCTGAGCCACTCTTGGTCTGTAGGGCACTGAACATAGTTCTGGCCTTCCCCGACGCCACGTCCACAGTACTCCCTGTGGTGAGGGTCACACTGCCCCCCCCCCCAGAGTGCAAGGGTTAGCTGGTGACTGACAGGCCCACACCACCCACAGCAGCTCTGGGCTGTACACATCCAGCCTCAACCCCAGTGTCCACACCACAGGGCTCCCCGCTGAGGCCAGGACACAGCTTCCTACGAGACGGCACCTCTCTGGGCATGCTGCGAGAGTTGATGGTTGTCATCCGCATCTGGGGCCTCCTGAAGCCCAGCTGTCTGCCCGTCTACACAGCTACCTCAGATACCCAGGACAGCATGTCCCTGCTCTTCCGGCTGCTCACCAAGCTGTGGATCTGCTGTGAGACCTTGTACCCGCCAAATACAAGCCCCCCCCCAGAGTTTAGGCGTCTCGCCGTTCCCCAGTGCGTGGGGTGCGGGCCCCTAACTCACAGTTGGGATGTCAGGGGTGGAGCCCCGGGGAGGCAGCTGTGGGTGCTGCGTGGACGACAGAGTGGCTTCCTGGCAAGGCTGTTGAGTGTGGTAACCTCCATCCCCCCACAGGCCGTGATGAGGGCCCAGCCAGTGAACCCGATGAGGGCTTGGTGGATGAGTGCTGCCTGCTGCCCAGCCAGCTGCTGGTGCCCAGCCTGGACTGGCTGCCTGCCAGCGACGGCCTGGTCAGCCGCCTGCAGCCCAAACAGCCCCTGCGCCTGCGCTTTGGCAGGGCTCCAACTCTGCCGAGCAACACCTCCACCCTGCAGCTGGATGGCCTGGCCAGGTGTGCTCACCTGCCCGTCCTGCCTTCCCCCCACGCTCTGCCCAGCCTTGGGCTTCCAGCACCTTCTAGAGCCCTGTGTGTCTAAGGACCGAGGTCTGCCTCATCAGGTCTCTGCCGTGAGAGAGAACTTTGTGGCATTCCAACCTTTGCTGTGTGCATAGAGGTGTTTGGTTTTGTCTCATGTAGCCCAGGCTTGCCTTAGACCCCCTGTGTGGGAGCAAAGGGGCGTTGAACTCTGATCCTCCTGCCTCCGGCTCTGGTCCACAGCTTTGGGTGTAGAATTCATTTCCTTCCCACTCACTGATTTGTGGAGGCTGCAGTGAGCAATGCTGGCCTCAGGGTTTGCTGATGCCCATCACACAGTGAGGCCTCTGCTCCCTCCTGTGTGTACTCGTTCCCATCAACCCATATCCAGCCATGGTTGGAAGGTTCTAGAAACTCTGGCCTGTCTCACCAGGGAAAGGCCATCTGCTATGCTTCTTATGGTTGAGCCCCGGGGCACACACCGGAAGCCAGGCTAAAATGGCCACATTCCCTCACTTCCCTCTCATCCCCAGGGCCCCCGGCCAGCCCAAGATCGACCACCTCCGGAGGCTGCACCTGGGTGCCTACCCAACTGAGGAGTGTAAAGCCTGCACCAGGTGAGCGGCTGTGGCCAGGCTCAGGTCCCCTGTGCTTCCACCTGGGCTCAGACAGCGCCTGGGATCTGTAGGCCAGGCAGCTTCAGGAGGCCTTTGGGCGTGGTCTGTCATACCTGGGGTTTGGGTGGCCAGGGCTTGGCATCACTGCAGGAGGTAAGGGTATTCTGGACTGGTGGGAAGTGAATGTCACCATCCCCTGACTCCCCAGGTGTGGCTGTGTCACCATGCTGAAGTCACCCAACAAGGCAACGGCTGTGAAGCAGTGGGAACAGCGTTGGATCAAGAACTGCCTGTGTGGGGGCCTGTGGCGGAGAGTGCCCTCAGCTGTGCCTGAGTCCCCGCGGAGAGCGCCCCTCAGCTGTGCCTGAGTCCCCACGGAGAGCGCCCCTCAGCTGTGCCTGAGTCCCCGCGGAGAGCGCCCCTCAGCTGTGCCTGAGTCCCCACGGAGAGCGCCCCTCAGCTGTGCCTGAGTCCCCGCGGAGAGCGCCCCTCAGCTGTGCCTGAGTCCCCGCGGAGAGCGCCCCTCAGCTGTGCCTGAGTCCCCGCGGAGAGCACCCCTCAGCTGTGCCTGAGTCCCTGCAGAGAGTGCCATCAGCTGTGCCTGAGTCCCAGCCATGCTCAGCAGACGCATGGGCCTGCCTTCTGTGATGGGACACTGACACTGCTGTCCTCATCAGAGGGGCTGGCTTTTGCCAGCAGCCCCGGTCTGGCCCTCCTGGGGGTACAAGGCCATCTCCAGGGCCCTAAGCTTGAAGGAGCTTGGCTGTGGGCCCATTCTTCAAAAGGCCATGGTGCATGTGCTCCTGTCCAGGTTGGGACTGTCTCCCTCATTTCCGTTGGGGCTTATGGGAGTGGAAGGCAGGCCCAATAAAGTTCTCTAGTACTCCAGGCTCATGCTGTCGCGATGCCCCCATCGCGTCTACCCAGCGAGGCTCTGCTGAGGTGCCCACTTGGATGGGAATTGCTGGGCCCACGTGTGTGCCTTGGTGGGCTCTGCCCCTCCCCACTGCCTCCCATCCCCTGGTTTCTGGCAGCCTTTGCTGCTGGTCCCAGGATTCCTGCCTGCCCCCTGCAGTCACAGCAGTCACAGGCAGCGAGACCCAGGCCGCCTGGATCTTGGTAATTGCTTTTGTTGTTTTCTCCTTGGAGCCCTGTGGAGCAGAGTGCAGGGCAGGGACCTCACGTGACCCAGCACTGGGGAGGGCTGTCCAAGCCCTGGCTCCAGAGGGCTCCTGCTCCACCTCACCCGCGGTTCTGACACAGCCTGAGAGAGGAACCATAGGCAGACAAGATAACGGCCTGGTGGGGTCCCCCAACCTGGAACCAGCTTTACTCCCCTACATTTATTATGTAACTGGGGATGACCTCGAACTCTTGATCTCCTGTCTCTATTTCCTGAGTGCTGGGATAGCAGGCATGTGCTCCCATCCCAGTACCCTTCTGGAACATTCTGTACACTTGAGGATTCTGTGAGTTCCCTGTGGTGCCCACTCCTGGCTCTAGGGTACTGCCTCTACCAACAGAAGCCAGCAGGGTAGTGTGAGGCATCCTGGCCTTGCTCAAGCTCTCCTTGACTTCCTGTGGGCCAGGGCATGTCCACTGGGGTGACAGCACCCTCCATAATGAGCCCCTTCCTCCTCACCGCCCCGAGAGGCTGCCCATCCACTCTCTGCAGTGCTGACCACACATGTTAGTGAACAGCAGAAGGAGCTGGATGATGTCACCAGGGTCATTTGTTTAGATGTGAAGCACTCTGGGATTGTAGGACAATTGGTACTGAACTAACCTCCGGAGGGAACCCAGCTGGGGCTTGCCTAGGCCTGTGCCTACTCTGCCCCAGCCTGGGGAGGGCACACAGTAGGTGCTCAGTGAGGGCTTGTTGAGCACTAAGTGCAGAGTCAGAATTCACACACAGGCTCCAGTTCTGCCTTTCCCAGCAGGATCATGGATGACTTCCTCTCTCACCCTCCCTTTGCCTCAGTGTCCCTGGCCGCCTCGGGGTAGAAAGGCACAGGGTTTGGGTCTGGCTTCTGCCCACCCACAAGCTCTCCAGCCCCTGTGACTGGTTGCAGACATCAACTCCTTCCTCAGTGAACCAATAGGGGCTCTGGGTTGGAATTCAGCCTTTGTTCATAGCCTCTCCGTGTCTGTTTCCCCTTTTAGTATTTATGTTTATTTCAGAGCGTCTTAGCAACGCTGTCCGAGCCCAGATGATGGTCCTGGTGCAGCAGGACCTCTGGGGTAGGAGTGGGCACCGCCCCACGGTTACTCGAAAGAGCACGCCCGCCTCCGTGTGGCCGAGCGCGGAACCACCTGTCTCCAGCTTCCCAGGTGTGTGCGCAGCAGGAGCTCAAAAGAGACGCACAGGGAGGCGGGGCGGGGATAGCACACGCTTTTAGTCCCAGCACTCGCGAGGCAGAGGCAGGCTAGCCTGATCTACAGAGTAAGTTCCAGGACAGACAGGCTCCGAAGCTATAGAGAAACCCTGCCTCGAAAAATCAATCAAAAAGACGCACAGGTCTCAGAAGCATGCATTTATTGTGAGACGTGTCTCCGGGGTCACCTCAGACCGTCCAGTTACCAAGCCTGACGTTTTCGATCCAGTCTATGTAGGTCGACACGCGGGTAAAGACGCCCGGCTTCTTGCGGTTTCCGCAGACTCGGGAGCCCCACGCAACAACACCCTCGACCTTGTTCCCGCACACCAGGGGGCCGCCAGAGTCGCCCTGTGGGGAGGGGCCACGAGTTACATACCCACCCAATAGCCAAGCCACTCTGACTTTTAAGCAGCTCCCAGGACTCCTGAACTCAGCTCTTCCTGCAAGCCACGCCCCTTCCCGAGCCACGCCCATTGCCAGCCTTGGGTTCCACCCACCCACGCCGCGTGACCCAGGCTGTACCCCTCACCCTGCAGCTGTCCCTGCGGTTGCTCTCGGCACACATCATGTTCTGGGTGACGACCCCGTCGTGATGCACACGCAGATTGCAGGTGTTCCGGTCCATGATTGGCACTGTAAGCTGCTGCAGGACGTCGGGCCTGCGCCCCGCGTGGCTGACCACGCCCCAGCCGGCCACGTCGCAGAGCGTTCCGGGGGTCAGGTCCCGGTCCTCGCTTTGCAAGGGCAGCGGGCTCACGTAGGGTCCCAGAGACGCATTCTGGAACAGCTAAGGGGGGGAGGAGGGTAACATCACGGTGGGGGGCGGGGCTGGGAAATGGAACCCATGGGGTGGGCAGGACCCGGCTTCCTCACCTTCAAGAGGAGAAGGTCGTCCTCAATGCGGTCAGGCCGGCTGCCCGGGTGACGCACTGCAGCCTGCACGTCGTACAGCCGCTTGGAGGGCTCGGGCTTCGACAAGGAGTGGGCACCCAAGAGCACTTGGACAAACTCATCACTGGTCCTGGGACAGGACGAGGGCCCGCCTCAGACCCACGCCCCACCTTCCCGAGGCCTCACCCCCCCCCCCGCCACTCACACTCCGTCCAGACAGTGCGCCGCGCTCAGCACCCACTGCTCATCCACCAGGGTGCCGCCGCACACGTGTGTGCCGTTCACTTGCACCGAAGCCATATTGGACCAACTGTGGGCCTTAGCCTCCTGGCCACCCAGGATCCGGCCTCGGGGCTGCGCTGCGGAGGAGGGAGGTGCACTGTAAGGGTCAGGGTGGTCTGGGAGACGTCAGACACACCTACACGCACACGCGCGCACACACACGCGCGCACACACCCTCTTGCCTGGTCTGGGAGACGTCAGACACACACACACACACACACACACACACACACACACACACACACACACACACACACACACACACCCTCTTGCCCCAGACCAGAACCCCATCACTGAAAAATACACCTCCGAGAGGCTACAAACTCAGAAGCTTGGTGGGTGGTGCACACCCCTCAAGACCGCAGTGAACCTGCCCGGGTCGGAAGACAACTTGCAGGAAATCATTTCCCTCCTTCCCCTCTGTGGGTCTAGGGGATCAAACTCGGTCTTTAGGCTTGGCCGCGACCCCCTTTACCAGCTGAGTCTCCTCACCGGCCCCAAGGTGAATTCTAGTTCTTTAATTCTATAAAGTCTACAGGTTTCAGATTCAGATTCTTGCTGTTGGTAAAAGCTCAGAGCTCAGGAGGCTCAGAGGGCAGATTCGCAGTTTGGAGCGCGTTTGACTGCAGGGGACCCCAGGTGCACCGGGCTGCTGTGTCCAGCTGTCCCTCCCTGGTCCACTCACCACATACAGCCACTCCCAGGACCGCCAGAGCCACGATCCCCACAGAGCTGTGCATTCTGACGCCAATGAGTGCAGACGCTGACCCAGGCGGGTCCTTAGGGGGCTATTTTATGGGGCAGGTGCCTCCCGCCCGCCCTCTGCCTGCCTCGTGGGCAGAGACCCAACTAGGGAACTGGGAATCTGTGCTTTCAGATTTGAGTGTGTCCGCCCTTGAGGGGTGGATTAGGCAAACCCGCCAGGTGAACGGGGATACCGCCTCTCCCTCCTGCCTCCTGCCTGGGACCCTGGCCAGTGCCCACCCTGAAGGGGGCACCCCTTAGGAGGGGTGGAAGGTTGGACCACCCAGCACCCTGGCCCAGTAAGTGTCCCTCCAGCATGGTGTCTGTCGCAATCACCACAGCAGGAGGCCAGTTGGCAAACATCGCCCCATTTTTTCACCCTCCCACACTTCCTCTTCCAACTTGGAGAGAAGGTTGTTTGCCTGTGGGGCACATGAACCCTCCATCCTCATTCCTGTGGCTGTGGGGGTCTGACACCTCAGCAGAGTGTGGCCAAGGAAGTGAAAAAAAGTGTCCTGTGAATGTCGCCTTCAAGTGAGGCTTGGGCCAGGCGCAGTCTCCACCCTCACCAGGCGGCCCCCTTTTGTGGTTCGGGGACCCTCACTCTAAAGTCTGACCCTGGTGTTAATCAACATCTTGTCTGGCTGACCCTAGGCCACAGGCTCCCCCAAGCTGCTCCACAGGATGGGTTCTGGAGGGATTGGGACAAGCAGAGTGGGCAGTCGCTCAGCACACCCACTCCCTGTTGGGGCATTAGGTTCTCTCTGGGAGTGAGCTAACGCTGCAGATGGGATGTCAGAGCCCCTTGTTAAAAACAGAAGCCGTCTGACAAATGGGGAACCTGCACAAGACTGCACTAGACTCCCTTAATATAGCTGACAATGGGGCAACGGGAACAGTATATGAGGCCCCTGGCAATGGGCCCAAGATCTAACTCTAATGCACAAACTGACTTAGTGGAGCCCATTCTGTATGGAGAGAAACCTTGCCCAGCCTAGATACAGGGGAGTGGGGTGGAGAGGTGCCTTGGTCCTGCTTCAACTACATGATGAAACAGACTTAGTAGACTTCCTACCCTCTCTGAGGAGCAGGTGAGAAGGGGGTAGGATGAGGGTGGGGGGATTGGGAGGAGGAGGGAAGGGGAACTGGGATTGGAATGTAAAAAATAAATTAATTTTTTTCTTGGTTTTTCAAGACAGGGTTTCTGTGTCTTGTTTTGGAGCCTGTCCTGGAACTCGCTCTGTAGACCAGACTGGCCTCAAACTCACAGAGATCCACCTGCCTCTGCCTCCCGAGTGCTGGGATTAAAGGGGTGGCCACCGACGCCCAGCAAAAATAAATTTTAAAAAGACAAAAATAAATAAATATGTAAATACAATCAGAAGCTACCTGGGCAAGTGGGGCTTTCAGCCCCAGCACTCTGAAGGCAGAAGCAGAAGGATCTCTGTGAGCTTGAGGACAACCTGGGCTATAGAGTGAGACCCTGTCTCAAAAACAAAACAAAATCAGAAGCCTTTTAGAACAGAATCCAGATTGCGCAAAAAGGAAACCAAGAAATTGAAAAAAAAATGGCAACCACCCAGGGTCAAGCAGCCATAGGATACTTCAGCAAACAGCTCTGAAGAACTTCCACAGACTTGGAACTGTGTCCTGGCAGGGATAGGATGTGGCTGGAGGAGGGTGGGTAGGTATTTAGGGGCCCCTGGGACAGAGCTGCGGCGTCCCCTGTCCCAGTCTAATGGGAAAGTGGACCGTTTCTAATTTTTTTATTTAAAGATCTATTTATTTATTATGTACAATGTCCTGTCTGCATGTACCCCTGCAGGCCAGAAGGGGGCACCAGATCCCATTATGGATGGCTGTGAGTCACCATGTGGTTGCTGGGAATTGAACTCAGGACCTCTGGAAGAGCAGCCAGTGCTCTTAATCTCTGAGCCATCTCTCCAGCCCCTCTAATTTCTATTATCTGTGTCTTACTTATTTCATTGTATTTGTGTGCCATGTGGTGGCTTTCTGGGTGGAGTCATTTCCTCCTCCGACCAGGTAAATCCAGAGATTGAGCCCAGGCTTCTCGGCCAGCGCTTACAACCCTTGCACCTCCTCACCAGGGCTACCTTAGTTATTGATAGATTCCCTCTTATTATTTTTAGTTATGCTGGGGGGCGCGGGGGGCGTGCGCATGCCCGTGCCCACAGCGTCCGGAGGAGAGCCACAAGTCCCCTGCGACAGGAGCTATAGATAGTTGTGAGCCACCACGTGGGAACCCGGGTCCCCTGTGGGAGCAGCAGATGCACTTAACTGTGTCTCTCCAGCCTCCCTCGTTAGCCTGGGCTGTCCTCAGAGTCATGACAATCTCCCTGCCTCCGTCTCCTAGCGCTGAGACCGAACCGAATGTGGGTTTTAGGGAACAGAAGCCAAAACGGGCCATCTCCTGTGATTTATTTATTTACTTATTTATTTTTTTGGTTTCTTGTTTTTTAATTTTGCTTTGCCTCTGGGCTCCAGGGTTAGTTTCGAACATGCAGCAATCTTTCTGCTCGCTCTGTCTAGTGCTGGGGCCTGGGTGGGAGCCACCTCACTCATCTCTTTTGTATCGTGTGGGGAACGGGGAACATGCTTCCTGCTGTGGCTTTGCTCCAGCTTGGTAGCCAAGTCCCCAGGAGGTGCCCCTCACACAAGACTGTGGCTTTGCTCTAATTCTGCAGCACGGACAACAGACACCAGACCCAGGGTACAAAGCAAACGTTGCTTTTACTGAGAGTCATGAGCGCTTGAGGACACGGCAGGGGGAGGACAGGCGGATCCTAGTGGGTGCTGCTCTCAGGGTCTCTGGGGTGCGTATGGGGGTGTTCGCCATGGCGTCGGATAATGGAATTGATCCAGTCGGAGAACTCAGCCACAGGTGCGAAGGCGTCTGGGTAGAATCCAGACCCACAGCCTCCGCGGATGAAGGAGTCGATGCCTTGGACAAGCCCGTTACAGACCAAGGGGCCTCCAGAATCCCCCTGAGGAGATGTCAAGGTCAGAGACTGGCCCTCTAGGTACCCCCTGACTCGTGCTCCAGCACTGGGAAGTCCTCCCTTGGGTCTGACCACAATCCCTCCTACTGCAAAGGGGAACTTACAAAGCAGATGCCTGCTCGCCGTCTTGGCACCAGCGTGCATATGTTCAGACGGCGGCGGCAGGAATTTGTCACCACGGTCACATTGAGCTCCTGGAGCACACTGGGCGTCGGGCGGTTCGTACCCAGCCTGCCCCAGCCCATGGCTAGGCACTGAGTTCCGTTAACCACGCCACGGCCCTGGGCAGGCAGCTGGGCCACCTGCACGTTGGTGTTAATGGTGGCTAAGCCATTGAGCTGCGGGGAGGGACACAGGATGAGGGAGAGACTTAGAACACAAAGGAGTCACGGGGCACATTGGACACTGGCTTTGTGCCCTGCCTCCAAGTGGTGGGAAAGGTTAGGGACTGGAGGAAGAAATGGACATGTCCCCGGGGCACCCCAGCGTCGCGGGTCAGTGAGCGAAGAGGCACAGGTAACAGGACTTTGTTGGTTAAACACTGCCCAGAGCTTTCCAAACATTAGTTCTTAAGAGCCATCACCATCTGGCCAACAGGACAGTTATTCCCTGTCCCATCCCCCGCCCTCAGAGCCTTCTGCACCGCGCCTTCCTCAAGCCTGAACTGCAGAGCACCCGAGTCTCAGGCTCCCGGACTCCCCAGCCCACCTGGATGATCACAATGTCGTTCAGCAGACGAGTGGGGTCGAAGCCATTCTCGAAGATCCGCTGCACAGAGAAGGTCTGTCTAGTGCGCTCCCGGCGCCGCAGGTTGTGGGCCCCCAGCACTACCTGCACCGACCGGAAGTTTCTGTGGACGGCGGAGAAGGGAGGAGTATGAGTGGGAGACCCCACCTGATCTCCCGGGTCTGGTCCACGTGGACACTGAGGACTGGCGGGGGCCTAGAGGGGACTCACAGGCCGTTCACACAGTGGGCCGCTGACATGACAAAGTTCCTGGCGATGAGTGTGCCACCACAGAAGTGACCTCCACGCCGCTGCAGGGACACCATGAAGGGCCAAGCATGTGCCTGGGCTGGCCGGCCACCCACAATCTCTGAGGCCAGCACCGGGCCTAGGGACACACAGAGAGGAAGAGTGAGCCCCAGCCACCAAGCTGTTTGAACCCCCAATGAGAGCTCGCAAGGTTGATGAGGGAAACTGAGGCAGGGAGGATAAAGGACCTGCCTAAGCTACCCCTGGACTTAAGATCCAAGCACCTCCCTCCTTTGTTTATAGTGGCCTTCAGGTCTTTTTCTAAAGCCCTGGGAGAAGTAGGAAAGACAGTGGAAACGGACAGGCCATCAGTGTGGCCACCCTCACTCACCACCCAGGAGCAAGGCCAGGAGCATGGGAGCCAGAGTTGGGCTGGACCACTGGCGGGGAGTCATGGTGCGGCTGTGCACTGGTGGCTCTCCACACCCCTGCCTGACAGCCACACTTATAGCTGCAGCCAGAGGCCGTTACATTGCTCCACGCCGGCTGGCCACTTCCTCCTGATGATGGGGTGCCCCCAGAGCCCCCACTTCAACTTTGTACATGCTGCGAATAGCGGTGAAGGCTCAGCAAACCATCTTCTATTCTTTTTTTAAAATAGGACCTCAGGAGGCAGACGCAGGCGGATCTCTGTGAGTTTGAGGCCAGCCTGGTCTACAAGAGCTAGTTCCAGGACAGCCTCCAAAGCCACAGAGAAACCCTATCTCGAAAAACCAAAAAATAAGCCAGGCATTGGTGGCACCTTTAATCCCAGCACTCGGGAGGCAGAGGCAGGCGGATCTCTGAATTTGAGGCCAGCCTGGTCTACAGAGCGAGTTCCAGGACAGGCTCCAAAACAATACAGAGAAACCCTGTCTCGGAAAAAAGAAAGAAAGAAAGAAAGAAGAAAAGAAAGAAAGAAAGACCAAAAAATAAATAAATACGTAATAAAAATAAAATAGGATTTCAAGTAGCCCAGACTGGCTTCAAACTCTTTTTTATTTATTTATTTATTTATTTATTTGGTTTTTTTCGAGACAGGGTTTCTCTGTGGCTTTGGAGGTTGTCCTGGATCTCGCTCTGTAGACCAGGCTGGCCTCGAACTCACAGAGATCCGCCTGCCTCTGCCTCCCGAGTGCTGGGATTAAAGGCGTGCGCCACCAACGCCCAGCTGGCTTCAAACTCTTAATTCCCCTGCCTCCAGCTCTAGAGTGCTGGGGTAACAGGTGTGCACCTCCAGGTCCAGCCTGGTGTCCCGTGTCCAGTCACTTATATCTGGGGGCCAGCCAATCTCTCTGCCTCAGTTTACCTATACATGGTAATAACAGCAACACATAGTGCATTGTGTTGTCAAAGACTTGAGAGCCAGCCGGGCGTTGGTGGCGCACGCCTTTAATCCCAGCACTCGGGAGGCAGAGGCAGGCGGATCTCTGTGAGTTCGAGGTCAGCCTGGTCTACAGAGCTAGTTCCAGGACAGGCTCTAAAACTACAAAGAGAAACCCTGTCTCGAAAAACCAAAAAAAAAAAAAAAAAAAGACTTGAGAACCAGCCTGACTTTTTCTGGGGGCGACAGAGAATGGCTAGCTGGATCCTTACTTAAGTCAGAAAAACTGAGGGGCATGGAGGCTCTACCCACCCAGTGTGTGTGTGTGTCCAGTGACGTGTGTGTGTGTGTGTGTGTGTGTGTGTGTGTGTGTGTGTGTGTGTGTAGGTTTGAGACAAGGTCTCACTCTGCAGACCAAGCTAGCTGGAACTCACAGAGATCCATCTGCCTCTGCCCCCTCAGCACTGGGACTAAAGGTGTGTGCCACCATGCCCAGCACAACAGGTCTTTTTTTTTTTTTTTTTTTTTTTTGGTTTTTCGAGACAGGGTTTCTCTGTATTGTTTTGGAGGCTGTCCTGGAACTCGCTCTGTAGACCAGGCTGGCCTCGAACTCACAGAGATCCGCCTGCCTCTGCCTCCCAAGTGCTGGGATTAAAGGCGTGCGCCACCAACGCCAGGCCACAACAGGTCATTTAAACCTGGGGTGCACACTGCAGCAGCTCAGGCCCTAGTTTGACGATTGCTCCTCACAACGGGGAACACAGCCCCCCCTGGCCCCATCCGTGCCTGGGCACCCATAAGAAGGAAGTACTGTCCTTGACAGTGGCCAGAGTGTGGGGATGTTCTCCTCCAACAATATGACTCAGGGCCCAGCCCCCACTCTGTGGCCAGCTCCCTCCCATCTCTTCCAGGAGCTGCAGCCAAAGCTGTTGCAAAACCAACGTCCCAACTCCAGCACAGGGCATGGGGGGTGGAACCCAACGGACATGGGCAGGTGCCAGGGCCCAACTCCAACCAGCCTGGAGACCTCTGTCCCTGGGGCCCCAGGGGGACAGCTGCCCTCTCCCTCCCAGACAAGCTGGTCACTGCCTGGCTCATTTAGATACACACTAACAGGACTCCCTTCCTTCCACACAGTGAGGTAGGCCTACTCTATGTATATGCCATCCCTGTCATATGGCCAGCGGTGCAGGGCAAACAGATTAGGAGACCAGATTTCCCCACAGTTGTACTTATTTTTTTAATATTTTATTTATTTATTGTGTATACAGCCTTCTGCCTGCAGGCCAGCAGAGGGTACCAGATCTCATTCAAGGTGGTTGTGAGCCTTGAATGGTGGTTGTGGTTGCTGAGAATTGAACTCAGGACCTCTGGAAGAACAGTCAGTGCTCTTAACCGCTGAGCCATCTCTCCAGCCCCAGTTGTACTTTTTTTTTTTTTTTTTTTTGGTTTTTCGAGACAGGGTTTCTCTGTGGCTTTGAAGGCTGTCCTGGAACTCACTCTGTAGACCAGGCTGGCCGCGAACTCACAGAGATCTGCCTGCCTCTGCCTCCCGAGTGCTGGGATTAAAGGCGTGCGCCACCAACGCCGGGCCCCAGTTGTACTTATTGAGCACCATCTGTATACTATGCTCACCCATGCTGCACGGGTTAAGTTTCCTCTGGGTTTATATTCCCAGTCCTCTGCTGTGGAACTTCAGGCCCTGAAGGAGCCCCTCGGGTTCTTCCTTGACCTCATCTAGTGTCCCCAGGTCCCTAGAGTCTCCACAAGAAACAGTCCCCACACAGCGGAGAGACATTGGGGACCCCTCCGCAGGGGTTGGGGGGATTGAAAAGAGGCTGGGGCTGGGGTGGGCAGCGTGCTCTCCTGGAGCGCCCCAAGCCTTGGAGTGGTGGCGCACACCTGTCATCCCGTCACTCGGGAGGCGGAGGCAGGAAGATCAGGAGCTCGAGGTCATCTTCAGCTGCATAGGGAGTTAGAGGCTAGCCTGGGCTACATGAAACTGTCTCCCACAACCAAAGCAACGCTAGAGAGGGAATAATACGCCTGTGGAGCCGGCACAGCGCCACCAGGTGGCGGCACAGAGCTGCAGCTTCTGAAGACACTGGCGACACCGCCCCTCTCGCCCCTCCCGGGCTGCCTGTGACCTCCTTCCCTGTGCTGGCCCCAGCTCTTTTCTCTGCCGCTGGGGAAGCGCGACGCTTCCACGGGTGCCCCCGCTCCTGGCTTTCCCACTGCCCCCGCCGCCAGGAAGTCCCCTGTCCGCTTTGACTGGAGCACCACGGTCAGCCCCGCGGGGAGCCCAGGGCCCGCCCACGGAGTGTGAAAAGAGCCCGGTCGCCCAGAAGCCTGGGCCAGCCGCGGGAACACCTCACCACACCCCACCAGGCACACACCACACCGGGTTCGGGGATGTGTCCCGGTTCCCGTTGGGGAAACTGAGGCACAGAGGCGAGAAGCAACAGGGGCTCGGCAGTGAGCCTGGCTTCCCCTCCGCCCCTTCCTTTCCCACGAAGCGGCTCCCCGGCCTCCGACACTGAGGCTCTGGCCCCTCCCAGGGTAAGGCAGACAGGAGACAGCTTTTAAATACGTCTCAGGTTTATTGGGGTCGCGTGGAACCGGGGACGCAGCTGGCTGCACTCCGGGGGTGCGGGGCGGTCTAGCACGGGAAAGGCCAGGCCGTCGCGCGGTCAGGCTGTGCGGAGCGCAGAGGGCTGCTCGGGCGCCGCGCCCCGCAGCACCGTGTGAATCCAGTCCACGTACATGGACACCCGGGCGAAGAAATCGGGGAACTGGAGGGAGGCGCATTCCCGGATCACGAAGGAGTCGACCCCGTGAAGAATGCCGTCGCAGATCAAGGGGCCCCCCGAGTCTCCCTGAGGAGGAAGCGGGGTCAGTCCCCAAGCTGACGGAGAGGCCACCGGAGTCCCGGGGGTGACCAGGAGGCATTTTTAGCAGCTTCCTGCTGGAATCGGTCTGGGTGCATCCGGAAGAGAGGAGACACTCAACCCGGCCGGGTACGAAAAAGCGAGGGTCCCATCGCCGCGGCCCAAGCCGGTCCCCGCACGGGCCGCTTGCGAGGGGTCGGGACCAGGGCTCAGAGTGAGGCAGGCAGGCGGTGGGGTCACATGCAGACCCCCGGCTTTCTCCTTCCTACCCACCAGACCCCGGCCCCGCAAAACCCTGCTCTCCCGAGAGCCCCGCCCCCCCTGCTCACCCACCTGGGAGCAACGCTCTCCCACTAGGCAGGCATCCCTACCTCCCCATCCGGGACATCCACATCCCCAGGCACCCACAGTCCTCTGGGATCCGCGCACCCCCCTCCAGATAACCCCCTTCCTCCGATTCCCGCTCCCCCGCCCGAGGCCCCGCCCCGCCAAGGCCCCGCCCCCACCTCAGGCCCCGCCCCGCCCGCGACTCCGTCGCGACCCCTCGGCACTCACAAAGCAAACGCCAGCTGCCCGGCGCGGCACCAGCGTGCATACGTTGTGCTCCCGACATAGGAAGGTGACCACCGTGACGTTCAGCTCCTGCAGCACGCGTGGCGTGGGCGCCCGGGTGCCCAGGCGGCCCCAGCCCATGGCCAGGCACTGGGTGCCCTGGGACAGCGATTGTCCCTGCTGGGGCAGAGAGGCCACCGCCACCTTCTCGCCCAGGGAGGCTGGCCGGTTCAGCTACAGAGAAGAAGATGTGAGGCCTCGCCCCCACCCGCCACCCTGGGAACCTAACATCTCCTTCGGGCCTTCGCACTCAGAGAGCCCCAAGAACTTCCGTCCGAGAACTTAAAAAGCAACAACTGGGAGGCGGGGGTAGCGGGATGGCTCAGGGGTTAAGAGCACTGGCTGCTCGTATACATAATAAAATCTTTTTTTAAAAAGCAACACCTTGGGCCAGGCATCGGTGGCGCACACCTTTAATCCCAGCACTCGGGAGACAGAGGCAGGCGGATCTCTGTGAGTTCGAGGCCAGCCTGGGAGCGAGTGCCAGGATAGGCTCCAAAAAAAACCCCAGAGAAACCCTGTTTCAGAAAAAAAAAAAAAAAGCAACAACTAACAACTGAATGCAGAGCTTCAAAACTCCGTGGGTAAACGGTCCCAGGTGTTCAAGCAAAAGTTTCTGGAGAACTGTTGGTTTGTGCAGCATGAGGGGAGGTTGAGTGTTGTACAGATGCCATTAACCCTAGCCATGGCCCAGACCCTAACTCGGCTCAGTTTCCCTGGTCATAACCCTAACATTAGACCTACCTGTGGCCCTAAGAGTAACCAAAACTTAGCCTCAACCTAGCCTTAGCCCTAACCCTAACCCCAGCCACCAACCAGGATAAGAGACAACACAGCCCGGCAGACCCCAGCCCCACAGGACCCAGCATGGCATACAGAAGGTGCTTCCTATGTGTCTTCTGCAGAAACCAGCCCCCAGGGTCCCCAGAGCCCCCAGAGCCCCCAGAGCCCCCAGGGCCCCCAGAGTCCCCAGAGCCCCCAGAGCCCCCAAGGCCCCCAGAGTCCCCAGAGTCCCCAGAGTCCCCAGGGCCCCCAGAGCCCCCAAGGCCCCCAGAGTCCCCAGAGTCCCCAGAGTCCCCAGGGCCCCCAGAGTCCCCAAGGCCCCCAGAGTCCCCAGAGCCCCCAGAGCCCCCAGAGTCCCCAGGGCCCCCAGAGTCCCCAGAGCCCCCAGAGCCCCCAGAGTCCCCAGAGCCCCCAGAGCCCCCAGAGTCCCCAGGGCCCCCAGAGCCCCCAGGGCCCCCAGAGCCCCCAGAGCCCCCAAGGCCCCCAGAGTCCCCAAGGCCCCCAGAGTCCCCAGAGCCCCCAGAGCCCCCAAGGCCCCCAGAGTCCCCAGGGCCCCCAGGGCCCCCAGAGCCCCCAGGGCCCCCAGAGCCCCCAGAGTCCCCAGAGTCCCCAGAGCCCCCAGAGCCCCCAGAGCCCCCAGGGCCCCCAGAGCCCCCAGAGTCCCCAGAGCCCCCAGAGCCCCCAAGGCCCCCAGAGTCCCCAGGGCCCCCAGAGTCCCCAGAGCCCCCAGAGCCCCGCCTACTTGAACAAGCAGCACGTCATTGAGGCTCTCCTCGGGGTTGTAGTTGTTCTGGAAGACCTGCGTGATGGTGAACTTCTGCTGCTCAGGCTCCCGGCTTTGCAGGTCGTGGGTACCCAGCACCACCGTCACGAGCTGCCAGGGGCTGTGGGGCCAGGGTTGTGGAATTTCGTTTGTGGAAGGGACCCAGACCCTTTCCCACTTGCTACAAGTGCCTTACCCCTGACCACGCCCCCTGCCCCTCCCTGGGGCAGTCTAGGTGAGAGGAATGCATTGTTATTGGTAGTCTCCTGGAGCAGAAACGGAGCTGAGGCCGGTAGAGAGAGGGAGGACGGGCAGGGACACCCGGGCAGGGCTATGCTGTCAGCTCAGGCCCGCAGCCTCCTCACTGTCCCCCGGCTGCTGTACTCACTGTACTCACATGTCCTGCAGGCAGTGGGCAGCGGTCAGCACGAATCTCGGGTGGATCAGAGTGCCACCACAGAAGTGGCTCCCAGGGGACCGGCTCAGCTGCAGGGATGCCACATAAGGTCGAGAATGGGGCCGAGCCTCGTGCCCACCCACAATCTGAGAGGCCTGAGCTCCGCCTAGGGGAGAAAGGTATCAGGACCACAGCCTGCAGGTTCAGGCCTTGAGAGCCACAGTCTGCACTATGGCCTCCGGGAGACCCGTGCCTGGGGAGGAGTTGAGAGATCTGGCTTGAATCTATGGTTATTATTTTGTTGTTTTTGAGATAGTGTCTCACTCTGTAGACCAGGCTGGCCCTGAACCCAGAGGTCTGTCTGCTTCAGCCTCTGCTGGGATTGAAGACATGCGCCACTAAGCCCGGCTTCTGTAATTTTCTGGATTCCTTAGAAATCCATTCCCTGCAGCAAGGGCCTCTGGTGGCACAGTCATAGAGCCTTCTAAGAAAACCCGATCGAGGGGCTGCAGCTGGGCTGCGGCTCAGTGGGCAGAGCACTTGCTCAGAGTACATAAAGCCATGGGGTCCATCTGCAGTGCCACAGAGACCCAGCGTGGTAAGGGAAACTTGCCATCCTAGGACAGGGGAGGAGGTACGAGGATCAGGAGTTCAAAGTCATCACCAATCAGTTATAAAGTGAATTTAAGGCCAGTCTGGGCTACATGAGACCCTGTTTGGAAAAAAATGAGATAAAATAGAAGAAACCCTGAGTCAAAACGTATAGGCTTCTCTGTCCTCGTCCTTTCCCTGCCAAGCATTTAGCCAAGGGGTGCCTTAGTATCCCCAGCTGTGCCAGGAGGGTGCTGGTTGATGGACAGGACCCCACTCACCACCGAAGACCAGGGCGAGCAGCAGGAAGGGATGGACCAGGCTGAGGGATCGGTGACTTCCGGCCATGGCCAGGCTCCTGGGGCGCTGCTTGCTGAACCCCTCTTATAATCCAGCTCTGGGGAGCCGTTGAACAGTGGCTGAAGGCTGGGTGTCCCACTTCCTCCTTCCAGGTTGGGGGCCCAGGAGAGTTTGCATCGAGGCACTATGCAGGGGTCTCTCGGCAGGCACGGGAAGCCAGCTGCCACCCACTGCCTGCTGAGGGTCCTGGAAGAGGCCTGAGTGACAGCCACCAGGCTTCGAGCCACAGAGCCTGTGACCTGATTCATTATGTCCTGCCTGGATTTCCTCCTTGATGTGGTAGAGGGTCTGTGTGTGTGTGTTCATGTTAATCAGGGCCTCAGGTAGCCCAGGCTGGCCTTGAACTCACCACATAAGGATGACCTTGAACTCCTGATCCTCCTGCCTCAGCCTCCTGTGTGCTGGGGTGACAAGGGTGTGCCTTCATACTGGGATAATGTCCCATTGTTTTCTCTTTTTTCTTTCTTTTTCTTTTTAAAATAAATTTAACTTTTTTCTGATCATTTCTGTCTATACATTAATTTTATTTATTTATGTATTTTTCCCATGGCATATGTGTAGACACCTGTTCCTGACACAAGACTCAGTGACCCTCCACCGTAGCCACTGAGGCAGGGGCTCTCCCCACGGCTTCAGTAAGCCAACTCACTAGCTAGCTAGTTGTTGAGGGGAGGGGGCGATCTCTGTCTTTGCCTGGCCTGTCTCCCACACTCTCGGGAAGCAGGTTGTGTCCACTGTGAGGCTTTGCACAGGGGGGGGGCCAGGGGGCCGGGGGGCAGGGTTCTGGGGACCAGAATGCCAGCTCTGCCATGTGCCACAAGCACTTTACCCACTGAGCGGTCTCCTAAACCCCTTCCCTTCCCACCACCCCCCTTTATTAAATCCCAGGCTAACCCAGAACTCACACCCACCCTCCTGCCTCCACTTCCCGAATACTGGGGTCTCGAGGCAAATCTATTCATTTATTATAAAGCAGTCTAAACTCGAAGAATGCTGGGATATAGCTAATGGTGGGAACGGTGGGATGTTTGTCCAGCACGTGTGAGGACCTGGGTACTCCCCAGAACTAGAAATATCATCTATTCTTTCTTACAGGCATCCATGTGTGCCTGTGTGTGTAGGTAAGAGGACATCTCTCAGAAGTTAATTCTCTCCTACCATGTGAGTCCCTGGAAGGGCACCAGGTCGTTGGGTTTGGGGGCAAGTGCCCTTCCCCACTGAGACACCTCAACGGCTCATAAATAAAGAAGTGAATTAATTAAATTAAGTTAAAAGAAGGAACCAATGAAGACTGGTTTTTTTTTTTTTTCCTCCTGGCAGACTGGAAAAAAAGAAAAAGAAAAGACTGTGTGGTTTTGTTTTGAAATGAAGCCTCCTGGCACAGGTCCAAGGGGTTCCGGGACTGGCCTGTCTGTTCTCAGACTTCTTACACAACACAACGGCTGGAATGACTCTGGACCCAGAGCCGGCTCAGAGCAACGCATCGTCTGAAGCTCTCCCTCTCCTCAGTCCTCCTCCCGATTGGGCTCAGGACCCCGGAACCAGCAGCATCTTCTGCCCTCAGGGAGAATGCCTCAGGTGACCCTCCGCCTGGTGTTCCTTGATGCGAGGCTCTGGAACCACACCTGCCGCGTGCTGGCGAGGGCTGAGTGGACCTCTGAGACCTGTCTGGGTTTTCTCTGTCTTGAGACAGGGTCTCATGTAAACCAGGTTGGCCCAGAACTCACAGAGGTATGCTTGCCTCTGCCTCCTGAGTGCCAGGTTAGGGCTTATGAACTTTGACCCTCCCGTTTCAGCCTCCTGGCTGTTGTGACGTCCAGACTCCTCAGCTAGGCCATGTGTCCCCCAGAGTCCACCTTCCCCGTCTCCACGTGGAGATCTCGCCCTGGCAGCCCGGAAGTCCCTCCCTGCTCATCCCTAGCAGGCCACAGTGGGTGGCCACAGCTTCCTCCCAGGCTGCCAGTTAGGGACCTTCTTTCAACACTGGAATTCCTAAGAGGCCACCTGAGCTCCTCCCCTGCTGACAGGAAAATGGAGGCCCAGAGCTTCTCTATGCTCTGTGTTCCCCTTTGGGCTTCTCTGCCCTCGGCCCCTGGTACTGTGGCCAAGGGCTGCCCCTAGGGAGCTGGTTCCTTTCCGTGGACATTGGAGATGGTGATGCCTGGAGCCTGCATGGGCTATCCTGGAACTCACTCTATAGATCAGGCTGACCTTCAACTCACAGAGATCCTCCTGCCTCCGCCTCCCGAGTGCTGGGATCTAAGGCTGCGCCGCCACCACGCCCGGCTCATTTGAAACAGCTGTCCTGGAACTCACTCTGTAGCTTAGGTTGGCCTCAAACTCAGATATCCACCTGCCTCGGCCTCTCCAATACTGGGGTCAAAGGTGTGCATTCCTTCATTTGTTTGTTTTTGAGGCAAACACTCCAACTCTTCACGTCAGGCTGACCTGAGACTACGTAGCTCAGGCTAGCCTGGACCTTACAGCAATACTGCCTTGTCTTCCCGAGTGTGGCAGGCTTGGACGACCACACCAAATATTTTTGGTTCTGCCTCATCTGCCCAAGAGCTGCACACCACCATGCCTGGCTTCCTGCACCTCTGTGGGGCAGGAGCATTTGCTGTGTGTGGCCACCAGGCCTGGGGAGCTTGCCATTGCCACAAGGAATCTGAAAACGTGGGCTGAGGTTGAGTCTGAGAAAGCAGGAGTCGGTTTGGGAAAAACATTGTGACTCACGGGAATAAGCAGGGGAGAGCCAGAGCAGGTGGAGAGGGGAGGGCTTCGTGGGAACAGGGAGGGCGCACACCGTAGGCGCTCAGTGGGTGCAGCAGCCCTGTGACGCCGCATCCCGCGGACCTCGCATTTCTTATTTTCCGCACGTGGGGTGCCTGTACGCTCATGTGTCCTGTGAGCTGCGCCCCTTGGTTTCGGGCCTGGAACTCGTGGAGTCTCTCTGCCGGTGTCTCACTAGCGGCTGAGGTTTCAGATGGACACAGCCACCCCAGATTTACCTTGTTTTGAGGCACAGTCTCTCCTGGGCTTGTACTTGCCTACTAGCCGAGGATCAGGGATCGACCACTACTCCTTTACCCAGGGCTGGGGTTAGATATGACACTGTGGCTGGCTTTTTATGGAGGTGCTGGGGATTCGAACTCAGGTCCTTATGCTTGTAGCACAAACACTTTACAGACTGAGTCATCTCCCCAGCCTCCTTTTTTTTTTTTTTTAATTATTATTTTAAGACAAGGTCTTACTGCGTAGCCCAGGGGTTTCTGGTGTCTGTTAAGGGCCTGGTGTACAGTAAGCGTTCAGTAAACAGCTTACTCACTAGATTTCCTAGCTTATTTGGGCCTCTGTTTGCCCCATCTGGGATGGAGTGGGGTCAGCCAGTGGCTACCTTAGGGGGGCTGCTTCTGTAGAGCGGGAACCGGCTGCCAACAGCAAGTGCTGCGTAAGTGGTCGTTATAATCATTTATCCTCAAGCTGCACAGGGTCGGGAGGGTGAGGCGGGCCTCGAGGTTGGACAGAGGAGAGGAGGGGCAGGAACCAGGGCAGCCCCTCCACCCTGGTGTCTTTGTCTCTTTTCGCTCGGTCGCCCAGGGACCTCACCATGGAAACTGACTCCAGCGAGCAGCGGGCTCGGAAGACGAGGGGGCCGAGGACTCGGTGGCCGTGAGCCGCGGGGAGACGATTGGGGACCGCGGGACTTCGCCTTCCCCACACTCCGCCGCGCGCCCCTGGGTCCCCAAGGGAGCACAGAGAACGCGCGCAAGGGGCGGGCAGGGACCCGGATTGCGATCCCCGCGGCCCTGAGACCCTGAGACCCGCAGAGCCGGAGGCGGAGGCGCTCGATCCGGGGGCGGGGCCGGGGCGGGGCCGGAGCCGGCTGCAGAGCGCGCAGACAAAGAGCCCGCGCGCCGCGCCCGGGCCTCGCGTCCTCCCACGCGGGGGCCCTGGCTTTGTGTCCGCGCTCTGCAGCGGACTCCGCCCTCCCTGCCCGCGCCAGGTGAGCGCGCGCGCGCGGGGGCTCCCGCATACCCCTTCCCCGCGTACCCCCTTCCGCTCCAGCCTCAGTTTCCCCGGGTCACCTTGTCCAGCCCTTGTCTCCCCACCTGGGGAGTCCGTCTGCGCACCTTCTGGGCTCCAGCGCTCTTTTTGTTCCCCTGAAACCTCGGCCTGCAGTGCCCGCGTCACCATGATTGCCATGAAAGAGAAGAATAAAACGCCGAAGGACAGCATGACGCTCTTACCTTGCTTTTATTTCGTGGAGGTGAGTGGGGGACCACGGAGACAGGTCTTCATGGCGTGGAGCTTCCGAGACCCTCCACGCTGCGGGACAGGAGCCTGCCCCGCGGAACCAGGGCACCTGGAGCTGGGATGGGGATGAGGCTGGGTGCAAGGACCAGGGTTCTGCAGGTCGGATAGGAGTTCCAAGGCTCAGAAGGGTTCTTTAGACTGTGGGCACAGATCAGGGGAATGCTAGGATGGCGGGCTTTCTTTTAGGGACATGGGTGAGAAGCTAGACTGGAGGGGCTGAAAATTGGAGCACGGTGGTGAACAAGCCACAGCCGGTGACGGTGGTCTGGACACTTGGCCGTGCAGCACCTTGGGTGCATCTAATCCTCTTCTGCTATGATGACATGGCTCTGTGCTCCCCCATCCCTAGGCCACAGCTCCCCAAGGCTAGCCAGTTGTGGTGGAGAACTGAGGGGGTCTAAAAATAGAAGACAATAAATGCATTCACATGGTGCATACTAAGTGTGGAGGAAGGCGTTTTTTCTGAATGAAGGATTCTGGGGGAGAGGGGGACTGGAGCTGTGAGCCAGGGAAAATTCCACAAACCCTGTGTCAGGCTGGAGCCCAGCCTCGTCCCCAAAGGGGACCCCCCTCTCCAGCAGGTGACCCTGTTTGGGCCATAGAGCAATTGGGGGAATGCTTAAATCCCAAGATGGCATTTAAGTGTGACAATATTAGCCCAGTCCCTCAGCCTGACTCTCACCAGAATCTCTGAAATCCTTCCAGAGATTGCTTACAACTATTTTTTTCTCGCTCATTTAAAATTATTTTCGAATGTCTTTAGTGCTAAGCAATAGAATCCACGGCCTGGATCATATCAGACCTGGGCTCCACCCTGACCACGCCCCCAGCCCTTCACTGGAGAGTTATAGGCGGGGCTCCACCCTAACCACGCCTTCAGCCTCCCTCACTGGGCGTTCTATGCGTGGGCTCCACCCATGATCACACCCCCATCCCTCACTGGGGAATTCTAGGCTAGGGCTCAACTCTGACCACGCCCCTAGCCCCACATTGGGGATTTCTTGACGGGGCTCCATCTGACCACGCCCACAGCTCCTCACTGGGGGTTTTCTGGGTAGGGGCTCCACCCCTGGGTCCTCAGCCCCAATCAGTACTTGCTTGTCAGGGTTAGGTGGTGTCTTCCTGCATTCCTCTTACTTTTGACAGGGTTCCGCCCTAGGCTGGAAGCTTCCTGGGGTCTCCATGTCTTCACCTGAGTTACAGGCACAACTATGTGGTGCTAGGGGCTTGAACTCGGGTCCTAGCACCTATAAAGCCAGTGTTCACCCCCTAAGAGGATTTTCTCTTACTTTATTATTATTTTAAGGCTTTCCTCTTCATCACAAGGTCTTTTTTTAAAGATTTATTTATTTATTATGTACACAGTGTTCTGCCTGCAGGCCAGAAGAGGGCGCCAGATCTCATTACAGATGGTTGTGAGCCACCATGTGGCTGCTGGGAATTGAACTTAGGTCCTATGGAAGAGCAGGCAGTGCTCTTAACCTCTGAGCCATTTCTCCAGTCCCAACACAAGGTCTTTTTTAATAAGGTGTTTGAATATGTGTGTGTGTGTGATGTGTGTGTGGTGTGTGTGTGTGTCTGTATGTGTATGTGGTGTGTGAGTGTGTATGTGTGTGTGTCTGTATGTGTATGTGGTGTGTGAGTGTATATGTGTGTGTGTGTGGTGTGTGTGTGGTGTGTCTGTGTGTATGTGGTGTGTTAGTGTGTATGTGTCTGTATGTGTATGTGGTGTATGTGTGTGTGTGTGATGTGTGTGTATGTGTCTGTGTATGTGGTGTGTGAGTGTGTATGTGTATGTGTCTGTATGTGTATGTGGTGTATGTGTGTGTGTGATGTGTGTGTATGTGTCTGTATGTGTATGTGGTGTGTGAGTGTGTATGTGTCTGTATGTGTATGTGGTGTGTGAGTGTATGTGTGTGTGTGAGTGTGTGTGGTGTGTCTGTGTGTATGTGGTGTGTTAGTGTGTATGTGTCTGTATGTGTGTGTGATGTGTGTGTGTATGTGTCTGTGTGTGTATGTGGTGTGTGTCTGTATGTGTGTGTGGTGTGTCTGTGTGTATGTGGTGTGTGAGTGTGTGTGTGTCTGTATGTGTCTGTGTGTATGTGGTGTGTGAGTGTGTATGTGTCTGTATGTGTATGCGTGTGTGTCTGTGTGTGAGTGTGTATGTGTCTGTGTGTGTATGTGGTGTGTGTCTGTATGTGTGTGTGGTGTGTATGTGTGTGTGGTGTGTGAGTGTGTATGTGTCTGTATGTGTATGTGTGTGTGGTGTGTGAGTGTGTATGTGTCTGTATGTGTCTGTGTGTGTGTGGTGTGTGAGTGTGTATGTGTCTGTATGTGTCTGTGTGTATGTGGTGTGTTAGTGTGTATGTGTCTGTATGTGTGTGTGGTGTGTGTATGTGGTGTGTGTCTGTATGTATGTGGTGTGTGTGTATGTGTCTGTATGTGTCTGTGTGTATGTGGTGTGTGTGTATGTGTCTGTATGTGTATGTGTGTGTGGTGTGTCTGTGTGTGTGTGGTGTGTCTGTGTGTATGTGGTGTGTGAGTGTGTATGTGTCTGTATGTGTCTGTGTGTATGTGGTGTGTGAGTGTGTGTGTGTCTGTATGTGTATGTGTGTGGTGTGTGTATGTGGTGTGTGTCTGTATGTATGTGGTGAGTGTGTATGTGTCTGTATGTGTATGCGTGTGTGTGGTGTGTGAGTGTGTGTGTGTCTGTATGTGTATGCGTGTGTGTCTGTGTGTGAGTGTGTATGTGTCTGTATGTGTCTGTGTGTATGTGGTGTGTGAGTGTGTATGTGTCTGTGTGTGTATGTGTGTGTGGTGTGTGTGTCTAGAGAGCGGAGGTCAGCACAGCTTTCAGGAGTTGGTTCTTCACTTGCTCCGTGTGGATCAGGGATTCTGCTCACACTCGAGCACGCATGCTTAGCAGCGAGCACGTTCATGCTGAACCATCTGGCTGGCCCTATACAAGGGTCTTTGTCCAGAGGGAACTTGACTTAGCAATGCCCACAAGATGCCAACCCTTTCTTAGCTCACAGACATGGACGAGCCTGTACTGCTTCCCACAGCGGAGGGGACAGGCTGAGAACCCCAGAAGAATGGATGCTGGGAAAGGGCTGGTCTGTTTCATTTCTTTGAGGCTGATCCAGAACTCAGAGCCATTCTGCTGCCGCAGCTCCCAAGTGCCACCGTTCCCGGCAGAGGGAAGTGCTGTGCATGTGCCCACATTGACACCAGTGAGCAGCAGGTCTTTTTTTTTTTTTTTTTTGGTTTTAATTCTCTGTATTGTTTTGGAGGCTGTCGGTCCAGCCTGGCCTCGAACTCACAGAGATCCGCCTGCCTCTGCCTCCCGAGTGCTGGGATTAAAGGTGTGTGCCACCACTGCCCGGCCTACAGCAGGTTTTAACCAAAGCATGGGCCTCAGGCTGTCTTCACGCAGCTGTGGCTGTATGTTCAGTACAAATGCTTGTCACCTTCCCTTGGGACTGTGGCTGCAACAAGCCCTGCGGATGGAAAGCCCTGTGTGGAGCGCATTCGGGGCTGAGAGGGCCGCTCTTGCTGGCAGCCCTGACAGTCTGAGCTCTGTCCCTGGGACCAGCACAATGCAAAGGCAGGTGATTCCCACAGCAGCCCTCTGACTTCCTCCCCGAGAAATAAAGATGAGTGGTAAATGAAATGAATGCCGGGCGGTGGAGGCACAGGCCTTAACCCCAGGACTCACAGAGACCCTCTGTCAGAAAGGAAGGAGGGGAGAGTGGGAGAGGGCAAGGGAATCTATTCCCTCACCTGACACACGCTGGCCACAGCTCACTACCCAGCCTAGGTGGGGTGTCACCCTGTATGAGGTGTTTAAAACTACGGGCCACACTCCCCATGTCACTCGCTGAACACTGAAAGACACAGCAGTCCTGAATGTGTGCTTGTAGCTTTGACACTGAGTGTGGCAGGCTTTCTTCTCAGCCACCAACCAGCTCCCGAATGACGACATGGTGGAGACTTAATTATGAATTCTTGGCCTCATCTTATGCTTCTTTCACTACGGTTTTTGTTTTTTGGTTTTTTTTTTGAGATCAGCTTTCTCTGTAGCTTTGAGGTTTGGAGCCTGTCCAGGCTGTCCTTGAACTCACAGAGATGGATCCGCCTGCCTCTGCCTCCCGAGTGCTGGGATTAAAGGCTGCGCCCATCTCTTATCACTTAGTCTAACATGTTTCTCTTCATCTATGTTGCTGTGGGACTCTTTCCTTCTGTATGTCCTGCTTCATGTCTGTCTGTCTGTCCCTTTCTTTCCCCCTCATTCTCTCCTGTTTATTCTCTCTGACTGTCTCTCTACGGTCTAGTTGTTGGCTGTTGAGCTTTTTATTAGATCAGGAGCCTTAGGCAGGAGAGGTGAAACAGCGATGCATCTTGACACAGCCAGGCGTGGTGGCGCAGCCTTTAATCCCAGCACTCGGGAGGCAGAGGCAGGCGGATCTCTGTGAGTTCGAGGCCAGCCTGGTCTATAAGAGTTAGTTTCGGGGCTGGAGAGATAGCTCAGCGGTTAGGAGCACTGACTGCTCTTCCAGAGGTCCTGAGTTCAATTCTCGGCAACCACATGGTGGCTCACAACCACCTTGAATGAGATCTAGTACCCTCCCCTCCACTGGCATGCATGCAGAAGGCTGTATACACAATAAGTTAAAAAAAAAAAAAAAGGTGTACACCATCACACCTAAAGAGTGAGTTTCAGGACAGCCTCCAAAGCCACAGAGAAACCTTGTTTCGAAACCCCCCCCCCAAAAAAAACCCAGCATAAACAATCATGAGGCCCCTTTAACCTGAGCCAGTATGGTCTCGGGTAGCACAGGCTGGCCTCAACTCCTCATCCTCCTGCTTGCCAAACCAGCACTGTACCACTGAGCCCTGTCTCCAATTTTTTTTTTTTTTTTTTTTTTTTTGGTTTTTACGAGACAGGGTTTCTCTGTATTGTTTTGGAGGCTGTCGGTCTAGCCTGGCCTCGAACTCACAGAGATCCGCCTGCCTCTGCCTCCCGAGTGCTGGGATTAAAGGCGTGCGACACCAACGCCCGGCCCGTCTCCAATATTTACTGTTTCTTTACTGAAACAGGTTCAGTATGTAGCCTGGACTTTGCCTGTCTCCCAGGTGTTGGGATTAAAGGTGTGCACCACCACCGCCCCGTCCTATGTAATTTTTATGTTTATGCCTGCTCACCATGAGCGCTACACACATGCAGAAGCCCGTGGATGCCAGACGAGGATATAGAAACCCCTGGATTAGACTTACGGAAGGCTCTGTGGGTGCGGGGAATTGAACCCGGATTCTCTGGAAAAGCAGGCAGCACTTTTTTCTCTTCTTCTTCCCTTTTTTTTTTTTTTTTTGTTTTTCGAGACAAGGTTTCTCTGTATTGTTTTGGAGGCTGTCCTGGAACTCGCTTTGTAGACCAGGCTGGCCTCGAACTCACAGAGATCTGGCAGGCAGCACTCTTAACTGTTGGAATATCTCTATAGCCCTTGGCTCTCTCTCTCTCTCTCTCTCTCTCTCTCTCTCTCTCTCTCTCTCTCTCTCTCACTCTGTCTGTCTCTCTCTCTGTCTGTCTCTCTCTCACACACACAGAGAATTGTTGTTTTTTGAGAAAGGATTTCTGTGGAACAGCCCTGGCTGTCCTGGAATGCTCAATAGACCAGGTTGACCTCGGAACTCACAGAGATCCACTGCCTGTGTCTCCTGAGTGCTGGGGTATGCCACCACAGCTCAGTCCTATTAATTCCCTTTTTACTGCTGGGGAAACTGAGGCATACAAGTGACCCCAGGCAGATGTCACCCATCTCATTCCTGTGTCTCAGACTTCTTGTACAATCGGAGATCAATAAATGCCCCTTAACCTGAGGGTGACTGCCCACACGGTCACTCCGCACTCAGGAGACGGAGGCAGGAGGACCTGTTCAGGGCCATCCTCAGCTACATCATGAGTTTGAGACCAGCCTGGGACATGAGGTACTCTCCAAATGAAGAAATAAACCGGATGCTCCTTTGACACTAACCCAGATCCCTCAATCCACTTTTTCAGGCTCCTCCAGTGACAGTGACAGTTATTTCCCTGCCTGAGCCCCAAGGCCTTTCAGCAGCCTTGGCTCCTTATTCTTTGGAAGGGAGTAGTGGCACTGGCATCATACCCCAGGTGGTGGGGACATATGCCCGGTTGGTACAGAGGACTCGGGCATGAGTGGGGGAGACGTTAGCAACAGCCACACACTGCATGCCGTGAGGCTGCATGGAGATGGGAGAAGGGAGAAGGGACAGGGGGTGCCACTAGGGAAGCTGCTTGAGGGAGCTTGGCCGACAGGACGGACTGGGTTAGCCTGGTTAAGGAGGACCGGGAAGGAGGGGCATCAACCAAGGGGGCTGGAGAGAGAAGTCCAAGTGTGTGCTGGGTGGGTCAGTAGATAGACAGGTGGCCGGAAGCCGGGCAAGCGTGCCGACGATGGATGGACGGGTGGACGGGAGCTTGGATGGACCCGAATGCTAAGGAAGCCCTTGTGTGGCCGGGCCGTTTCCTGAGTGTGGAGTGGCTCTTCCCTCTGGCTGTAGCTGGGCTGCAGAAACGGGTGTGTGCGTCTGTCATGCTAAGGCTTCGGTGGGACGGTCAGTGACCTGGACCACCATCTGCCCCCCCTGCCCCCCAGCTTCCTATCGTGGCGTCTTCCATTGTGTCCTTATACTTCCTGGAGCTGACTGACCTGTTCAAGCCGGCCAAGGTGGGATTCCAGTGCTACGACCGTTCGCTGTCCATGCCCTACGTGGAGACGAATGAGGAACTGGTCCCACTACTCATGCTCCTGAGTCTGGCCTTCGCGGCCCCGGCCGCCTCTGTGAGTAGCCTGTGCCAGGGCCCCCAGTCCTTGGGTCCCTCACTGTGACCCCACCTGACCTGCCTGTCCCCGGGGGGGCAGATCATGGTCGGCGAGGGCATGGTCTACTGCCTGCAGTCCCGGCTGTGGGGCCGCGGCCCAGGGGGCACAGAAGGCAGCATCAACGCGGGGGGCTGCAACTTCAACTCCTTTCTCCGTCGCACGGTGCGCTTTGTAGGTGAGCGACTTTGAGGCTTCCGGATCCTTCCTCCACGCCCGCTTATGGGGTTACTGGGGTGGATGGGCTATGGGACCACCCTACGCGCTGCTCCCTTCCCCTGGCCTGGCCCTCTCGCCTCAGGTGTGCACGTGTTTGGCCTGTGTGCCACGGCTCTGGTGACGGACGTCATCCAGCTGGCCACCGGCTACCACACGCCTTTCTTCCTAACGGTCTGCAAACCCAATTACACTCTGCTGGGTACTTCCTGTGAAGCGAACCCTTACATCACTCAGGACATCTGCTCTGGCCACGATACCCATGCCATCCTCTCAGCGCGGTAAGCCCTGCGGTGGGACTGTCACAATGCCCCACTCTGGTGACCTCGGGGAGAAAGGCTGCCCCGACCAGCAGGGCTGACACGGTGCCTCTTGCAGGAAGACCTTCCCATCCCAGCACGCCACTCTGTCGGCCTTTGCCGCTGTTTACGTGTCGGTGAGTGACGACCCCAGGGCTGGAACGTGGGCCGCCTGCGGGCAGTAGCTACAGCCTGACCCTGCCTACCTGTTCCCCAGATGTACTTCAATTCAGTCATCTCGGATACCACGAAGCTTCTGAAACCCATCCTTGTGTTTGCCTTCGCCATTGCTGCCGGTGTCTGTGGCCTCACGCAAATCACCCAGTACCGCAGCCATCCTGTGGACGTCTATGCTGGCTTTCTTATCGGCGCTGGCATCGCTGCCTACCTGGTGAGGGCGGGTTACACGGAGGTCTGAGGGAGGAGGCTGGCCACCAGTGGGATTTGAGCAGGGAGGTTGAGTAGCAAGAGCAGCCCTCAGTGGCCTGAGCGAGGCTTCTCCATGCTGGTGCTCCCTGCGGCCTGCAGGCGCTGTCCTCTGCTGGGCGGCCAGCCTCATGGGAGTCCTTATCATTCCTAGGCCTGCCATGCAGTAGGCAACTTCCAGGCACCACCTGCAGAGAGGGCGCCGACACCAGCTCCTGCCAAGGACACCCTGCGAGTGCTGACCCAACGGGGCCATGAGTCCATGTGTCAGCAGAACAAGTCTGTCAGCACAGACGAGCTGGGTCCTCCCGGGAGGCTGGAGGGTGTGCCCCGGCCTGTGGCTCGTGACAAGACATCCCTCGGCAGCCTCAAGCGGGCCAGCGTGGATGTGGACCTGCTGGCCCCACGCAGTCCCATGGGCAAGGAAGGCATGGTGACCTTCAGCAACACACTGCCCCGTGTCAGCACACCGTCGCTGGATGACCCTGCGCGCCGTCACATGACCATCCACGTGCCCCTCGATGCCTCCCGCTCCAAGCAGCTCATCAGTGAGTGGAAGCAGAAATCACTGGAGGGCCGCGGCCTGGTCCTGCCCGATGAGGGTAGCCCTGTGCACCTGCGGGCCCCAGCGGAGCCCATGGCGGAGGAAGAGGAGGAAGAGGAGGAGGAGGAAGAGGAGGAGGAGGAGGACGAAGGGCCCGTGCCACCGTCGCTCTACCCCACGGTCCAGGCTCGGCCAGGGCTTGGGCCCCGAGTCATCTTGCCTCCCAGGCCGGGGCCCCAACCCCTTGTGCACATCCCTGAAGAAGGAGTGCAGGCTGGAGCTGGCCTGTCACCTAAGAGCAGCTCCTCGGTGCGGGCTAAGTGGCTGTCGATGGCTGAGAAGGGAGGGGCCCCAGTGGCTGTGGCTCCATCCCAGCCAAGGGTGGCCAACCCACCCAGGCTCCTGCAGGTCATCGCCATGTCCAAGGCAGCAGGGGGCCCCAAGGTGGAGACAGCCTCGTCCTCCAGCGCCAGCTCCGACTCTTCACAGTACCGCTCGCCATCAGACCGCGACTCGGCCAGCATAGTCACAATCGATGCACACGCACCCCACCACCCAGTGGTGCACCTGTCCGCGGGCAGCGCCCCGTGGGAGTGGAAGGCCAAAGTGGTGGAGGCTGACGGCTCTTACGAGCTGGGAGACCTGGCCCGTGGCTTCCGAAGCAGCTGTAAACAGCCCAGCATGGGCCCAGGGTCTCCAGTCAGCGATGTGGAGCAGGAGGAGCCCCGTTTTGGGGCTGTGGCTACTGTCAACCTGGCCACTGGGGAGGGTCTGCCCCCACCCGGTGCAAGCGAAGGGGCCCTGGGTGCTGGTAGCCGGGAATCCACCCTGAGGCGCCAGGCAGGCGGGCTGGGGGAAAGGGAAATGGAGGCCGAGGCAGAGAGCTACTACAGGAGGATGCAGGCCCGCAGGTACCAGGACTAGGCCTGGCACAGACCTGAGCGGGTGGGCTGGGAGCATCTGTAGCACCAATAAAGAGGCTGCCGCTGACAATGTCCTGTGGTCTGGATGGTCCTTAGCCACAAGTGGTAAGACATGGTGAGGGTTTCCAGTGCCCTGGGCCTCCCCGCCCCTTCTGTCCCATGTAACTAGCACTAGAGGCTACTACCCGCTACATACCCAAGCCCCCAAGCCCAGAGACAGGCAGACGTGCAAGACACAGGCGTTTGTTTATTGAGTCCAGGCCCAGCCCGGCTGATACCTCTACAGCTCAGAATGAAGGGCTCAGGGAAGGCACAGATTAGAAAACTGCTTTAATGGAAACTCCCCCAACACACCATCTGGGACTGGGTGGAATGTGACCAGGGCTGGCCCCGGGACAATACTGAGCCTGTAGTTGTTACCAAAATATACATCTGTCACCATAAAAAACTGCTGCACCGCCTCAGCCCCACAGGTATAAAAATCATAAATATTTACACTCTTGCCACTCCTTCACAGAAGCAAGGTCCAGGGAACCCCTCCCACAGACAGGCTAGGCATGATATGGGCATTTGGGAGGGGCATTAAGGCCTAGAGGTCAGCCCCTCACCTGGGCCTAGTCAGAGGCGAGCAGAAAACAAAACTTTGGTCCAAAATTTGAAGGTAGGAACCCACAGGTCTCAGAGCTGTTTTTCTCCAGGCAGAGGCAGCACTGGCCTGGGTCCCACCTGCAAGTTGGTCACCGGGAAGGAAGGGGACAAGCACAGGGACATAGAAGCTGAGAGTACACACATACCATTGTATCATTGCTATAAAAAGTTACTTAAAACTATATCTCTTGCATATAAATGGGAAAAGATTCAGGTATTTGGTCAAGTGGAAATATTGCTAGGCACGGGTGTCTGCGACTGCACAGAATAGAATACAAGGTCACATGAGGCTCAGCAGCTGAGGATGACCTGGGCCCCCCAGGCTGGCCAGGGACATGGGAGAATCATGTCACTTGATTATAAGGGTGGGGGCAGTGACCCCAGCTCCTGCACAGCGTAGGGAGCCTGTGGTGCAGGCCACTGGCTCACCTGCAGGTCTAGAGACTGACTGGTGGCCCACGAGGCTGGTTTTGTAAGGCACGAACGCGACTGTGTTCGGGGCACCGCTGTGGCCTTATGCCTGAGCCCCTCAAGGCATGGTGCCTGGCCTGACTGGACCTCTGTGGCCCAAGCCATTTCCTGCCATGGCAAGGTGGGTTAGATTTAATTTTTTTAAAAACAGGTAAACTGATCTCTTTAAAAAAATAAAATCTCTGGTCTGTAAGGTCACTTCAGCTGCTTTTAAAGTGGCTTTTCTGGAATGGTGGAAGCTGTCGCAGGCCCACGGGCACCTAGATGGTGGACTTGGAGAAGGACACGCGCAGATGGTGGTTCTCGCCCAGGTCATGGTTGTGCAGTTCAATCAGTGCCTGCACCGCCTCCTCCACAGAGCCCATCTGGATCAGGGCCATCTTCCTGTCCTTCCTGAAAGGAGGGAGGAGGAATGGTCAGAGCGGCTGGCTGGGGCAGGCGGAGGGCAGGGGGACAGGGCTGTACTCACTGGAAGAACTTGAAGCCTTTGACCACACCGCCATTGCTGGAGAAGAGGCTCTTGAGGTCATCCTCTGACACAGAGGGCCTACAGGGAGACAGGAGGCATCAGGCTGGGGCCCTTGGGGTAGGGGACTCGTAGGCAAACAAAACAAAGACCAGGAGCCTTCGGCTAACTCACGGGATATTGGAGAGGTGCAGAGTAGCTGAGGGCGGGAAGATGTTCTGGAAGTTCTTGGAGCCTGGCTTCTTGAAGCGATGCAGTGGTGAGCTACCATAGTCCTTGGTCAGGCCCTGGTCCTCCTGTCCCTCACGAGGCAGCTGCACACTCTGATGCTTTGAAAGTGTGATACGCACTGACTTCCCATGGAGCTTGTGCCCATTCAGGTGGCTCATGGCTGGGCAAAGGATGGGGAACACATGAGCCGCGGGCCCCCATGCTCTCCTGCTCCCACCCCTAGGTGCAGCCAAAGCCCCTGTAAGCCCTGTGCCCTCCAATGGCTCTCACCCAGCTGGGCCTGGCTGCCATCTGCCATCTGGACAAGTGCATTTTCCTTCTTGTTGAACAGAATCTTCACCCGCTGCACATCACCATAGACTCCTTTGAAACCCAGGGAGAGAGTCTGAGACACCCAGCCTCGCAACCTCTCCCAGCCACCCACTGCCCACCCTTGCATCCAAGCTCCCAGCGGGCCAGGTTTGTTTAGTGGGCACCGGGAGGGAGCCTGTGTCTCACAGCCCAAGGCCTGCTAACGGGCACTGCGCTCGGCAGTCTCGAACTCCAGACAGCTGTCAGGACAGCCACGTTCACATGCTACTGACACGCTTAGCTCTGGAAGCATGCAGGGTGGTAACCATGCGTGTCTACTCAGTACAATCCGCAAACCGGAAGCAAACCACGGACCGAGGCAGAAGGCCAAACACAAACTCAATAGTACATCGCAGGGTGTAAAATAACCAAATAAACGAAACCAAGGTAATAAAAGTGAGAATAACATACCGAAGAGAATAAAGAGGCTTTGGGGTGTGACTCTCTTTAGAGACAGCAGAGGAAGGCAGCAGGGGACAGGGAGAGGGAGAGGCCACGAGGAAGACAGTCCCCGCAGGCGAGCAGTTCATGATGACGAAGTTGTCAGGGTGTTAATGTTCAAGGGCAGGTTGGTTTCCGGAGAGCGGGTTTGAGAGGGGATTTGTTTATTGATTTATGTTTTGTTTGTTTCAAGCAACAACAGGAAGCAGAAGAACCGTGCAGTCAGTTGGCAAAGAAATTCCGGATCAGGCAAGAAAAAAAATTGGGAGGGGAGGGGAGGAAAGAAAAAAGTAGCAAAACACAGGTCAGTAAATACGTAGGAAAACGAGGCAGTGTTCTGCACACCCACACACATCCACACACGCATGTGCACACACACACACACTTGTACACATGCACGCACGTAAGGAGAGGCACTGCACACAGGCTCGAAGACCATGGGCCAGCACTGTGGCTGAGACTAAAGGACAGGCAAGGAGAGGAGCCTGTTAGTTCCCAGGTGGCCTGAGGCGTGGCACTATTGGCTGGAGCAAGGCCAGCCTGGAGAGCCACAGACGCTGAAGAGAGCAACCTGAGGCACGGCCATGCATAGAGCCAGTTCTGGAAAAGCAACACTGAGCCTCAAGGGCCACCTAGGCTCCACAGAGCTCCAGTCCCAGACACAAGCTGACTGGCTCTGGCCTGAGCCAGTCCCCTTCCAGTGGTCACTCCCAGGTCTCCTTGCCATGCCCCAAATTAACTCCGACTGCCTTGTGCAGCAAGGAAAACACCCCGGCTGAGAACCTGAGGGCCGGGGTGCGAACGAGCTGAGAGGAAACAGAAAACCTCAGAGCAGCTGGGAAGGAGCGGAGGCCAACAGCAGCAGCAGAGGGGCAGGGCGCCACACCTGTGCCCACGGCGCCTGTGACACCCAGAGCCCCTGCCTGCTGTCCAGTGCACCCACCAGGACCACGGTCAACCCACACCCCACCACTCCTCCGGTACGGGCAGAGCAAAGCAACACCCACATACCTCAGGGTTCAGGTTGCTGACCAGAAGGACAGAATTTCCGGCGCCTGCCAGGCCTGGGATGGCAATGCGGCCAGCTGCGGCAGCTGCGGCAGCAGACGGTATGGCCAGAGGGGCCAGTGCTCCGTGGACATTAGGAACAGAGAGGCCTGCAAGGGAAGGTAGTGTAGGTATGAGCCTGCATGTGGCTGTGACAGGAGGGGACAGGCACCCTCTTCTTGCACACAGCCACAAGGTGTCACCTGGCTGTGGCCTGCCCAAGAGGCCACAACACATTGGCTGACACCATGGCCAGTCCAGTTGTGTTCAGACTGCATGCGCCCAACAGCACAAAAGCTCTGGTCGACACCGGCCCTCTGCAAGCAGGGCCTGCCACAGACACGCCGGGCTGTGCACGCATGCGACGCCCATTCCTCCATGCAGGCTCGGGCGGCACACGGAGGCTGAGGCCCATGCTCCTCAGCCCTGGAGGCCACTTGCTTACCAGGCCATTAAATTCAATCTACTAGGGACACTGCGTTCTCGTCCTCGCCCAAGGTGCTTGAAGGGAACCAGACCAAAGACTGAGTGATTAGTGGCTTGTTGCTAATGCCAACACAGGGCACCTGGCCCAGCCCTGCCTGAGACTACCCTGCCCTAGCTGCCTGTGGATGCTTCAGAGGCCCCTTCCCCTCTCCCCGGAAGGGGGCCCGGAACCTCACACTCGGGACCAGAGGCACCACTGTCTCTGGGCAGCTCTGGGGTGTGTGGGCATGCAGGCGCCAGGGTCAGGATGAGCATGAATACCTGCGGCCTGAGGGATGGCAAAGGTGGGAGGGAACCCGGCTCCTGCATACGGAGAGGCTGACATTATGCCGGGCGCACCTAGAAACAAACAGACACTAATCACTGCACCTCACCTCAAGGCTGGGCCGGCATGGGCAGGACTGAGGGGCTGGGCTGTGCAGTGCCAGGGTACCGGGGAGCCTGACAAGAGCTAGGTGGCCTGTCCCACCCTGCTGACTTGGTGCATCTCAGTACAGCATCTTACCAAAGGCTGCAGCCATGGTCTGGTCCAGTGAAGGCTGGCTGTCCCCAGAGGGCAAGTCAGGCCGAGTGTAATCTCTGCTCTTGTCATTGTTGTATTTGACATTGAGACTAGTGAGTTTAGAGAAGTCGATGCGCAACGTGCAGCAGGCGTTGTAGATGTTCTGGCCGTCCAGCGACTATGGGGAGACAAAGGTGAGTGTTGACCAGGCACAGGTAGGTAGATTGCCCACCCCCAGGAAGCCCTGCTCACCAGCTTGGCATGTTGGGCGCTCACAGGGTCAGCGTACTGCAGCAGCGCCTGGAACTGGTTATTCTTGGTGAATGTGATGATCTTCAGGACTGTCCCAAACTTAGAGAAGATCTGCAAGAGAGTGACACGTGAGCCCCAGCTGCGGGCAGATGGGGACCCCACCAGCTGGTGAAGG